GGTTTCTTCTTGTAAGAAGTTTTTTGGTAAAATAATCACTTACAGTGAAAATGGAATAGAAAGTCTTCTATGTTTATTAAAAAAATATGTAATTTTTTATATTTATATTTTGTAAGTATTATACTATAAAAAACATGCGTGTGTACTGAAAGCGTTTTTTTTTCCAGCCTATCAAACTTTCTTCTTTGCCTAAAGCTTTAATGTGCAAATTTTACCCAAATTTCACCATGGTTGCAAAAAACCCGTCGTCCTTTTCGTCAAGAATTATTAAGCTGCAATTTCCTGCACTTCATTTCCTTCTTTTAATAAGGTCAAAAACTGTTAAATATGAGATGACGACACATGATTCATTTTACCGTTTATGTTACGTCGCTAGGTAGATAGCTGCCATTACATTGAAATTAAATATAATTAACTTTACCTTTACCAGAATTGAGCAATCTTTTGTACGAGATCATTTTATTTTTTAGTTTATCGACTACTGATTAATAACAACAAAATTCCCGTAAAACCACAAACTGTTGGTTAATTATTACGAGTTACGTATCAATTAGTTTATTGATAGGAAATGTCATGAATTTACAGTTGCTATTATAATTATTTTCCAGTATGTTTTCAAAAATTTGATATTACATTACTAACCTGCTAGTTATATGTCACAATTATAAATCTATAACAATTGCTTACATAATAGTGTTACATCACATTAAAGAGTTGCTTGGTGTAGTTGTCATAATTAAAAATTGTTTTAATTATTTGCTAACGTTGTGTTAAGAACCATGTTAACTGGTGATATTTATAGTTGTAACACAATTAATGTTCGAATCTTTACTGCAGCACATAATGGCAGTTGCATAATAGCACGTAAATAAGATCTGACTGAGGCTGCAATAAGGTCCAATATATCTTTTTTTCCATTTAATTTGCTTGTATACCTAATGTACAATCATCTTTTTTCTTAAAACTATTTATATGGACATTTTAACCACGATGAAAGAAACTTTTCTCGGTTTAATCTTCCCTTAATCTGCTGTTAATAAAGCATGACAAATCTTTCAGATAGACATCCAGGTACAAACATTACGTGACGACCTTGCTTTCACTACTATAAAATCCAGTAATATAACAATTTTAACCTAGATTTCGTTAACTACATGCTTCAAATGTGTGATAGGTAATGGAAAAATCAGGTAGGTAACATAAACACAAACACGTGGGTTATTGACCAGTATCAGACAACGGCGTTTTGAACAGTTTTTATTTTTATTGAGAGAGAGCATAAGTAACGTATCCTTATATTTTTAAAGCATCGCTAATGAAGTTGGTTTCTCCCATTCGCCGCTCCGGACGTAAAAATCCGGGTATTTTTGCATGTGGTGTACGTGCTTCCCCTTCCATAAGATTTTATTGTTTCCAATGAATATCTTGGCAATTTTCTTAGTCAGATGGTAGTCTGTTTTGAAATTTTGATCATATAGCAATCAAACATAGCACTCTTTTCGATAGTGATTTTGTGATTGTTTTGTGATTGAGATTTGAAGGATTGTTCACATTAAGACAGAATTCTCAAATTTTTTGTTGTAAGTTTTTGATTATTTAATTTCTTAATAACTCGTATGTATTTAAAAAGATTTTTTGAAATTTTAAATATTACATTTAAATTGAAACATAATATTGCATTCATTATTTGTAGTTTTTATTTTTTATTAATTAATTTCATTGACAATAAACACCATTATTTAAAAAACATCAAGGATTTTACAACTGCTGAGCATCTAGGTACTTAAACAAGGTTTTGTTTATACATTTATGTCATTTTTAATTCAACCTTCAATTCCATTTGTACTTATTATGTTCAAAGTTTGTTTAGTTTTAAGCAAAAAAATTAAAATAAAACAAACATATCTAGTTGTAGTTTTGTGGAATTTTTTTAAAATTAATACTCTAAGATACAAAACATAATTCTTTAATTTTACAACCTTAAAAAAGCACATATCGAAAAAAGTAATAATGCTGTAGTTATTTATACTTGTATTTTTAATAAGAGTAATGCAGTCATATACACAACGTTCTTGATTTTTTACATTTTCTTTTATTTGCTATAAAGGTTTGTTAATTATGGTAAAAAAAAAGTTAGTAGAACCATCAAGTTGTATATCGCTATTCAAAATTCAAATAGTTTCAACGTTGTTAATTATCCCCACCAACAGTTTCATCACGTCATCTCCAAAATTTACAACAGTAAATTTGTTTTTATTTTTATAAAATAAGATGATCCTGCACTTGTGGTGCACGAATCCGTGTTGAGTTTTCACTCTAGACATCCAAATTTCTGGAAAAAATCAAAATTGTACAACAAAATTTGCAATTTAACTTTGAAACTGCAAACCCGAATGCTCTGAAACCTTGCAAACGTTTTAAGGTTATCGTAATTATGGCAAATCGTTAATCAAAATTTATTGATTTATCTCTTCCCAAAAAACTGATGACGTCAGTTTAATTCGAAAATATAAGTGGCACTCTTGCTACGATTTTGCTATTTACGTGAAAAGGCTGCGATATAATCTTGTAGTTGCATGCGGATAAAAACATCTTTGTTGAGCTAAACAGTATCCCACAATATTTTGTTTAATTGAGATAACTATTTTGTTGCACTTACGCTGGCTTACAGTCACATTAATCATGTTATTCATAGGAAATTTTAGTAGATTCCAACATAATTTGTCCGAATCTTTTTATAAAAAAATAGCTTGGTCTACAAAACATGTACGTAATAATTTCGTAACAACCAAGTTTTTTATTTGGAATAACAGTGTTCGGAAAAATATATCACGACGTTTTCTTTATGTACAGTTTCTTATAATTTACACGTACATGTGATAACGATAAAAATATTTATATTTTTGAAATACACTGCCAGACCAAAAAACCCGTACACTTGACTTTTTTGTGATTACCTTCAATTGGTCGAACTTTTCTTAAAAATATTCCGAAAAGCAAATCATTACTGTATTCATTAATAGAAAACATAATTTTATTTTAGAACATGTGGCAACAGAAAAAAAAAAGGAAAAAAGTTATAACACTAAACATTAGCATAAATTTACAAATATTTAAGTGTTCGGGTCTTTTGTCTAGTAGTGTATTTATAAATGGAAATAATAGTTATGTTATTCTGAACGACACAATTCTTTCTTTTCAAGTAGAGATCTAACATGTAAATTACTGGCGCTGAATAAGAATGTTTTAATATTTTTGAAAAGTTGCCGTAGAAATATGCTTTAATTTGTATAAAAGTAGTACATCAACTAAAACAACAACACTAGCAATCAAATCGTTTCCAGTGTCACGATCCTATTGTGCTAAGTTTTTTTATTTACCTAAAAACAATGGAAATTGTCAAAAAATAAAATTTAAATAAAACATTAAACATCTATTTGTTTTTCAATTAGCTTTATTATTAAAAATATGTCCGCGTGTATGTGTTAAGCGATGAATAGTGAATGAATGGTTTTAAAAAACCACATGAAACGGTTACATAAAATTAGTATTTTATGGTAAAATAAATTTTCCGAAATAGATCTTCCTGGAATTAAAGCAGTCTCATAAACTATTAAAACTGCTTTTAGTAATTGAGTAATTACACTTTAAAGTTACTATTATAAATTCTAAACGAAACTACAATTATTTTTATACATGAAATTGTTGACGAGATTTTATGAAATGAAAATGAATTACATGTTAAGAATCCTCCAGTGTTTTTATTTGCAATGCATTTCTAATTAAACAATTTTAAATCATTAAAACTAATTAAGGAATGTTATTAAGACGGTTTAGCTTTGTTGTATTAATTTCTTTATTTAATGGCTATTCATTTTTTAAAGCAATTACTTCAGCAAAACATACAACAACATATCCTCAATTAAATTTTGATTACACTTGATGTTCATTAAAAGAATTAATTTTTAATTAATTAAACTTTTTAACTCTTTTGTTTTACATTTAGCAACTGATTAAAATGTATACAGTGTATATAATATTTTACGCATTTTTCTTATTAAATTCATGCCAAAAGTTAGACCATTTGTTTTTTTGTTCATACTGGGAGCCAGTGACAATAGTAAAGTTAGGTACATAGGTCCAAAAATAAAACAAATCAAATTAGATCAAAAGAACGAGTTAGTTTTTGACGAGTTCATAGTTGCTAAAAATGCGAACGAAAAATAAGTACACATCAGTTTCTGCAAATTATTTAATATTATAATTTTCTGCAGAAATTGGTTGCGAATAGCTTTTGTCAGGAAGAATTTGTTTTATTTTATTTTTTCATTTTCGTGTGCCATAATACTATTTGTATCACAAGTTACACAAATAACTATTTCCATTGTTGTATTATGAAGGAAATAATAACTTTTTTAAGAACATTTAAAAATATAACAAACCCTTTGAATAACTAAGGTATAATCTTTGATTTACACGACAGATTTATAACAGCACGCCCAAGTTGATGCGAATGGGGCCGAACAAAACAGTAGAAGTTGAAGAGGAATTTTTAATTACAGTTTTATTATATAATTAAAATGTGAATAAATTCGTTGTAAGTCCTTGTCCGACTTGTGACTTCCCAGTGGAAAGAAGTGATTTAATCAGTCTTAACACATTATTTTAAATTAAATTAATCTGGCGTCGAATTAAAATAAATTAACATAACACAGTAAATTACTTATCCATGAAATAGATGTGCTTTTCAAAACGACCCAAGTTATTAATGCACCACAGTTTAGCTGAAGAAAGAAAATCGCACTTCATATTTGTTTTCAAATGAAGTACATAAAAACACACAAAAAATTACAAGTCTAATAAACAGCTGGAAGGGGAAATTGTTTTGACACGTTTTTATTATGTCCTACTGTTAATCACTCCATTATTATTAACATTTTATCTTTATAATATTAATTATTGCGGTTATACAAATTCATATAAACGCAGTTTCGTCAAAAAGACGTTTAATAATGAGATAGCATTTATAGTAGAAAGATAAATAATACCTCACATTTCAATTTAAAAAATCTCAACGCAAGACTTTAATTACAGTTTATTTGGTAATTATGTGTGGTGGCTGTTTTTTATACTTTTACTTTAACCTTAAATTTGGTTCCAGGTAAATGCACAGGAGACAATGAAAAAAATACTACTCTTCACTGCAATTATTTGCTTCGATCAAAATCTTTCGTACAAAGTCATGTTTAATAATGGTGAGTTATCATGAGATTTGTGTTAAAATATACGTCATTTACTAATCTTATTCCTAACTCGGTTTGTATTGTAGTTATCACAAAGCAAACTTTAAAGTAATATTAACATGATATAACTTTATTCGTATATTCCTATAATTTTTTATAAATTATTTGGCAATAACTAATATCACCGTAGTGCTTTTTTAGATGAGCAATTTATTATGCTATTAATAATAATTAACGCTTCGTTTTGTCTTGAGATGTATTGACCCTGTACAACGTGCATATTCATTGCAGGTGGACCTAATGTCACAGATTTGGTAGAATATGTCTTACTAAATGACGACAATCCTTGCTCGCGAAAATGTGTGAAAGAATCTGTACCAATGACCTGTAGATACACTTTTCTTTTGGAATCGTATCATACCTTAAACAAAGCATGTTATGAGTGTCCATTCAAGCAAGACGATTGTTATAGAGAGGACTGCATTCCTGCTGACGGAAACAGAAGATCAGTTGTAGTTGTGAATAGAAAAATGCCTGGACCTAGGGTTGAGGTGCGAAGGAATAATAAAATTGGTAATAATTTTTCTCCACATATATAATTTTTGTAGGTTTGCCTTGGGGATGAAGTGATTATAGATGTAGTTAATCATTTAACAAGCGATAGTACAACCATTCATTGGCACGGTCATCATCAAAAGAATAGTCCGTATATGGATGGCGTACCATTTGTAACACAATGTCCCATTCTTCCAGGAATGACCTTTCGATATCATTTCAACGTCCACAATGCTGGTACCCACTTCTGGCACTCTCATTCAGGTAATATTCTACATATCTCACCTGTTTATAACAAAAAAGTATCCAGTTTTCGTTTTGCGTAAGAATATTTAGTTAAACTAGATTATATGTATGTATCACAGTGCAAATGTGCTTTCTATTTAAAAAAATACAGGTCCTGTTGTTTTATTCACGTTAATGTGATTTTTCTGAAGCTGAAAATTTTAGACATAATATTTTAAGATTTATTAATTTTTACTGTATTGATCTTGTCGGCAAAAAGTAGAAATAGATGTTTTGAGCAATTGTTAAAATGAAATAATCGTTTGTCAAAACAGGATACTTTTTAATGATGATATTTTTTATATAATTCATTGTTCTTGTTGTAAGTGAAAAGCTGAAAAATGAGGCAATTTGTTAAAACGTGTTTAAGTCGAAAAACGAAAAAGGTTTCTTATATGAGTAGTCAAGGATGATTAATAAATTAATTCGGACGTTGCGTAATGTTTTAGGTAAATTTTACATATAAATTAAAAAGTTATACCTAAGTATTTTTTTAAAAAGAAAAAAAATTGGTCTAAAGAGTTTAGACAGTACTTCCCTCGCTGTCGGAAACTTGACGACTGCATGCCTATTGTGTTTTTTTTCTCATTACATTTTTGTAGTGGGAATTTAAAAAAAAATTGCGATGACGTCATCAACATTTTTGCAAGGACACGTATATCAGTTGGGATAGATGTAGTGTAATACTAAGAATAAAATTATTATATTCTAAAATTTTCGGGAAAATGAATTGGGTCGTTTTGAATATTGATTTGTAATAATCAATAAAATAACGAAACAATTTACTCACGTATACGTATCAGAGGCAACTGAAAATCGTGTATGTATAAACATTCTTAATTTAAGATGACAGGCGTAACAGCATACGTGAGAGTTAAACAGAGAAACTGTAAACAAAACGACCATCGGTTTTATTGCTTCGACTTCCGCTTATTATATAAAACATTGGGTTTTATTTTAATTCTTGACGGTGAAATTCACAATTGGTTGATTATAAACATGTCTATTTCACATTCGCGGAACCAAGTGAACGCATAAAACAAATGCAGGTCTGTAATGTTAAAGTCGATGTAAATAAGCGTGCTACCCTTATGTCTCAACCGAGTTTTTCCTTTAACAAATTTTGTGTCTACCAAATTGGGTTGGTTGGGGTGTAATACTAATAATAAGTGTTGCCTTTAATTTAATCAATAAAATAAATTGACTTCATTAATTTTTTTGAACCACCTCTTAAGAAAATCTAAAAAATATGAATGGAATGATATATCACAAGTACAAACTCATCATATTTTTTGCATTTTAGATAGGATTTATTCAGTAAAATTTAAGGGTGACGTCATCAATTTTTTTTAAGGAGGGATGAACAAATACATTTTGAACAAAAGTTTACCATTTTTTTTGAGTCACCCTGCATATGCAAATCCAAAAATATGATTGGAATGATAAATCACAAGTACAGACTCATCATATTTTGTACATTTTAGATACGATTTATTCGGCAAACTTTTGAGCTGACGTCATCAGTTTTTTTGTAGAAGATAACCAAATATATTTTGACTAAAAACTTATTATGCTCTTTATAACCTTAAAACATCTGCAAGATTTCAAAGCATTCGGTTTTGTAGTTCCTGATTAAATCAATAAAATAAATTTACGCATTCATTAATTTTTTTGAGTCACCCTGTATATGCAAATCGAAAAAATTTGAATGGAATGATAAATCACAAGAAGAGACTCACCATATTTTGTACATTTTAGATAGGATTTTTTCAGCAAAATTTTGTGGTGACATCATAAATTTTTTAGGGGGGACGACCAAATACGTTTTGATCAAAAATTTACCATGCTTATGATAATTTTAAAATATCTTCAAGATTTCGAAGCATTCGGTTTTGTAGTTCCTGAGTAAATCAGTAAAATAAATTTACGCTTTCATTTATTTTCTTGAATCACCCTGTATATGCAAATCCAAAAAATATGAATGGAGTGATAGATCACAAGTACAGACTGATCATATTTTGTACATTTTAGATATGATTTATTCGGCAAATTTTCGAGCTGACGTCATCAAGTTTTTGGAGGGGATAAGCAAATATATTTTGACTAAACATTTATTATGCTCTTTATAACCTTAAAACATCTGCAAGATGTCAGAGCATTCCGTTTTGTAGTTCCTGATTAAATCAATAAAATATATTTACGCATTCATTAATTTTTTTGAGTCACTCTGTATATGCAAATCCAAAAAATATCAATGGAGTGATAAATGACAAGTACAGGCTCATCATATTTTGTACATTTTAGATATGATTTATTCGGCAAACTTTCGAGCTGTCATCAAGTTTTTGGAGGGGATAAGCAAATATATTTTGACTAAACATTAATTATGCTCTTTATAGCCTTAAAACATCTGCAACATTTCAAGGCATTCTGGTTAGCAGATTGTTGTTTTATAATTTTGATTTTTTTTCCAAAAATCTGGACGTTTCGGGTGAAAAGTCGATTCAGAGTTGTAAACTACATGTGTAGGACTATGTTATTTTATACAATTGAAAACCCATTTACTATGTACAATTTTGAAGTGACGTCATCGCATTAGTGGTGGGGATGATTAGACGGACTCGATTACAATACTTCCTTTGCTTACGCTCGGGAAGTAAAAACAAACCAAAAACAGGTTAAAGGGTTTGCTACGCTTCACTACATAATCAATGTATTTTATTTATGTTAAATGTGAAGATCCTTTAACAGTAACAACTTTCAGAAAAATATTTTTCAATTTATTCTTTAGTTTTTTCTGCAGCAAAAAAATCCGTCAATTGTTTTAACGTTTTGCAGAAGCAAACAACTTCAAAGGAAATATTTGTTGGCATATTAAACAGTCTGAATCATAAGTAAATTTCAATGGTAAATTTATACAAAAAAGCTGATGTACTTGATACGTATGCCATGTTCACCACTATTTTCTAATATAGAAAGCAGAGAAAAATGCAAAATACAAAGATTTATCAGCATCTTATAATAAGTTAAAAATATCGTCAGTAGAATTTGTTTAAAAAGTAGATCTTCGGTTTATTTTTATTTATAGTTTTTAAAAAAAGCGGGCCTTTTATAACTCAATCTTGTTATGGAAATTTCTGTTTGTCTTAACTGTCGTCCTCCTATTTTTTTTTTCAGTTATTTATCACATTTATCACATATCTGGTTTCATTTAGATGTTTTTTGCTAAGTTTCTACTTTCCTCAAATAATTTTGGATTTTTTAATTGTGCAGGTGTTGGATATTCTTTCCTAATACTTTTATTAAAAGGTGAATGTTAAAATAACTTTTATATTTGTATAAATCTTTTTGTTCGCTTTTCAGTTATAACTTTTTTACTTCCCAACCATAAAATGGAGTGTGTTTTTGTAGAGCATTTTATAACTACTCTTTTTTATATCTAGTCGTCAGTTTTTTGGTAATTTTTCAGTCTTTTCACTGTAGTTTTCTTCATAAAATGTTGCAATGTATGACTGTTTGACTGGAACCATTTTATTTAATCTTTATCTTTAAAACTACGTCCTCTCGTGCGTCCCTTTTGAATTTTATGGTGTAACAGACTCTTTCATCGCCGATTTAATAGTGTATCGATATTTTTAACCTTACGCATAGGGATACATACTGTAAAAAAATAACGAAGTTATCTTTAAATTAATTATTGTAGCTCGTGTGTAAACAAACTTCGACCGATGAGAGTTAATTTCTCAAAATGCATTTGGAATTTTTCGTATAGTTTTTTTTTAACATTTTTGAACCCTTGTGTAGTCAAGAAATATTCCTTAGGATCTGTACAAAATATCTATATAAGCATGTTTTGAGTAAAAAATGTTTATAAAATCACCAAATAAGTGTCTTTTTAATGTTAGTTTTTTCAAACAAAATATCATTTTTTGATCTTTCATTTTTGTAAGCTATTCTCTTGTTAACATGCTCATCACAAAATGCTTTGAATACTGTATTCCGAAGGCTGGTTCGTTTTTACGACTGCATGCTTCTACAATAGGCCTCTGCCGCAAGTAATACAGCGGTCATAAACCATCAAGAGATCAACTGTCTACACTACACACGGCCCTACGCGCCCGTAAACTCTTAAGATGATTTATGACACGGCTATTTACATTTTCAATAGAGTTCCTAATGCTTGCGGTATTTGAGATTGCAGTGCTATAAAAACGAAGTCAGACTGGGATAACTATACAGTTATTCATTCAAAGCCTAAGAAACGAATATTTTCGTGAAGAAAATATATAAATTAAATATTAAAATAGGTACAGTTCCCATTTTTGAAGAGATGTAATTTTTTCCCGTATTTCAGCTAAATTTTAGATAAAATTTTGACTAAAGCATTATTATCGTACACGCGTGATTACACAATGCTTTCATGCTATTTGTAAAGAAAATATTTATTCTTTTTATTTTCACATTATCTCTTATTTATTAATATACAATTTCAAAGAATTACTGTAATTCATTAGGCAAATGCCTTGGTGTTCTCGAGCAATTTTTCGACTGTGCTAATTTTTCATAAAATTTTAAACAATTCTATTATTTTAAAGATTCATTTCATAGATTTGTTTTAGAAATAACTTATAGATTTATTCAATTAATGCCAGTACTAAAAAAAGATTTGTTATATGTTCTTCTAGGATTTCAACGTTCTGATGGTACTTTTGGTCCTTTTATTGTGCGAATACCAGAAGAAGACGATCCACATTCTCTCCTATATGATTATGATCTCCCGAATCATATAATAACAATTCTAGATTGGACTAAAGAGGTCGGAAACGATAAATATATGTCGCATATGCAAAATGACGGCGACAATAAACCTGATACTATTTTGGTTAACGGTATGGGAAGATTTAAACACTTTCAAGATGCAAATGGTACAACGATATTTACACCAACTGCCCGCTTTACTGTCGAACAGGTAGGCGTTACTGCAGGTCGAGTAACTTACGAATAACTAACTATGACAATTTGAAAACAGGGTTACAGATACAGATTTCGGTTAATAAACGCAGGTTTTTTAAACTGTCCAATAGAACTGTCTATCGACAATCATACGCTTACGGTGATCAGCAGCGATGGAAGTGATTTTAATGCCACAGAAGGTAAATATATTTTGAGTGTAGTAATTACATTACAATGATATTCTCTTTTAGTGGAATCCTTGGTTTCTTATGCTGGTGAAAGATTTGATTTTATTGTAAATGCTGATCGACCTAAAGACGTGTATTGGATGCATTTCCGAGGCTTAATGGACTGTGATGAACGCTTTACTAAAGCATATCAGTTGGCTGTGCTCCAGTACAAAGATGTAGAAAAAAAATACCCACTTAGTGAACCTACTTATGATAGTTCCAAAAAGGAAGGAAAAGTAAATAAATAATTTATTCATTGAAACAAGATTAATAGAGAGTGGAATTTTAGCAAATGAATGCTCTGAATAAAGGGACTGAAGCTGATAACTCCAGTTATGTTAGTATGCCACAACTGCATTCATTAGATCAGTGGGACGATAGTCTTCAAGAAAAAGCTGATTTTCAGTATTACGTTTCGTATGATTTTTATAAAATGAATCATCCTGTATTTCATAAAGAAAACACCTATGGGTTCTTTAATGGTAAGTAGGTAATAATATTTAGTTTTAATGTTAGTAACACACTATTTTTAGTTACGGACCCAATGCAGCAAGTCCTAACACCCCAATTAAATTATATTTCGATGAAACTGCAATCCTTCCCACTTCTACCGCAGAGAAATCAAATTGAAGAAAATATGTTGTGCAATGAAACAACAGTACAGGATTGTGAAAACAAGTTCTGTGAATGTACCCATATTGTTAATGTAAGTTTATTGCTATGTTTTCAGTATATTTGTAAAACATGTGGTTCTAATCGTCAATACGTAAAAGTAAAGCAAAATTAAAATATTAAACGAGAGGCCATGCAAGTAAAGCTGCTGAAAATAATGTCATCACGATTATTCATGTTGCTTCATTTGTTGTGTGCTTTAGGATTCTAATCTGACTAGGTTTTTTTATTTTTGGCTGTTATGTTTCCTTGCGAAGTAAAACTGAATTGTTCTGCAATGATCAAAATGTCATGACCTCTTGATGGCAAACTATTGCGGAATAATCCTAATTTGGCAAGTGTGACAGCAATTTATATTACCGTGTAGAAAGGAAAAATTTAATGAGTGCGCGGTTGTGAGGTAAAGCTAGTTTTTTACACGTTGTTTCCAAAAATATGATTAAATATTTTTCTATTCCCATTGTAAATATTATTGTTAATTGTTGGCAAAGATGCAATTGTCTCAATAATTCATTTATAACTAGTTGTGGAATTCAAGTTCAACGTTATTGTCTAGATATTTAATTTTGTTAGTTCTTTTGGAAATCTGGCTCAAATTTTGACATGACTTCTTTAATTTGATTTACTTACCTGTTTAAAACACAATAAAGCTGCATCGAACTATTTATATCATGTGCAATATGGATTTGGAATGTCTTCCAATATTTTGTTCACTGCTTGAGTGACAAAAGTGGATAATATTAAACCAGAATGAAGCACTTTTAAATCCAATCCAACTCTAAAAATACAAGTCACCGAATCAGTGGTCATAAGTATATGTATATTTTTATGCGTATGTAATTATATATGTAGTCATTTTGTATAAAGCGGTTTAGTATTCTTTAAAATATGTTGGTTCTATTTTTCTTCAAAAAAGTTCCTGTTCTTTTACATTAGCTATGTAGTGTTTTAGAACAATTTTTGAACTTCACTAGTATCTCCCGAAAAACACTGTTATTCTTGTTGGTTAGGTACTACACTATTTGCAAAATTATATGTATTGTTTTTATTTTTTTGTTGTTGCTTCCTTTAGACTATGTTTCTATACTTACAACGATGGTACGAATGTTTCTGTCACTTTCTCATCTTTCAATGTTCCTCTTATTCCTACTCATTGCTATTTGTATTTACAACAACAAAAACAACAAATAATAGAGTTATATTATAACTTTAATGCTTTGCGTTTTTTTTTTTGTTTGTATACGCTTGTGACCTTTCTTTGAAAGAATACTGTAAACTTTCCTTGTTTAATAAAAGTCGATAGATGTTTCTTATGCTAAACTTAACACACATTTATGTTTCAGATTCCATTAAATACTGTAGTTGAAATGGTTTTAATAGACAAAGGTTATGCATACGATGCTAACCATCCTTTTCATCTGCATGGTCATTCTTTTCGAGTGGTGGCAATGGAGCGAATAGGAAGTCACGTTAATGCTTCAGATATTCGCAAGATGGATCTTAATGGACAGATTAATCGAAATCTTAAAGATGCGCCTCTGAAGGATACGGTGACTGTTCCTGATGGGGGATTTACAATAATCCGGTTCAAAGCTACAAATCCAGGTAAAATAATAGCTCCAATCGAGTAGTTAATTTCTCCATTATTATCATTTTAAGCAAAACCGAAATTTTTTGGCTGACGTAATCGCATTTATGACATTAATAATAATATTTATTTTAATTTTACAAAATTCTAACCGTTTAGCCAAACCATGTTCTTAAAAATATAAAGAATTATAAGGGATCTAACAAATATAAAAAATGATAAAAATGTATAATACTAAAAATAATTTCCACATATCCTAGCGACTGCTTTCAAAGTTTTTAAAAAAGGTTAAGAAGATATAGTTTTATTATCAAAGTTTACTGATTTCGCTTAAATGAAAAAGATTGCTCAAAAAACCAACACATGTCATTAGAAAATTAGAAAAATAAAAATGCATTTGTGATATAGCTAGCGTTTATTTTTCAGGTTATTGGATATTTCATTGCCACATAGAATTTCACGTAGAGGTCGGTATGTCCTTAGTGTTCAAAATTGGAGAAGACTACGAAATGCCTCCAGTCCCCACTGGTTTTCCTAAATGTGGAGATTACATTCCCAATGTAAATAGTACAAATTTAGACGAGTGTGAAAATGTTGGTACTTTTGGTAGTATTTTAAAGAAATTACTACCAAACGTGTATAAAAATTATTGTCCGCTCCCCAGTAGCGCTAGTTATAAAATCGTTCATTTTAGTTTACTACTAGCCTTTGTACCTCTTGTAATTTTACGGTAATTTATACAGTAAAATTGATGACGAAAATTGTGATATTGCTTCCGATGATAGCATTTAAATTATTATCGTGTATTTTAAAGAGAATCTCTTTTGTATTTAAATAATTAATTTATGTAATAAAAAAATAAGAATAAACGTTTTTTCATTACTTCCTTACTTTTCGAAGGTTATTAAAAACAAGTTCGTAAAGTTCGCAAAAAAGTAACTGCTATTACTTGCATTTTTACTTCCCGATCGTAAGAAGAAGAAATAGGCAATTTTTATTAGACAAAAACTGCTGGACTGACTGTTGTCAAATTATAGGTGTGTTGAACCAATAATTTTATGACGTGCCACATTTTGTCTACTGTTGTTTACGTTTCAATTATTTATGGTTTTTGAATCGCCCTTCTGATTGTTTATTATTATTGTAATTTTTATTGTTGTCTTGTTCTTTGAATACATAATATGAAATTCCTCATGGAGTTGTGAGTTAAATGGTCGCTTTCAAATATTTTTATTGATCAAATTAAGAACGGTTCACCCCATTTTTCCAAGAACTTGATAATGTAGTACTGTTACATTGCACCTATTCAAATTCATATGTGTCCTTGTTAAAATGTTGTTGACGTCATCGCAAACTTTGGTAATGGAAAAACTTACTTGAAGTATCCGCATAGCATGCTTCGTTCACACACATATTTATTTCAACTTATTTTATAATTTTTCGAAAACACTACTTCATCAGGGGCGAGGAACACTTAGATTAATTTGTTTGCTTAATAACACTAGTTTACAAGGTTTTATATCCAAAGAGAAAAATAGTTGAATCTAAAGGATTTGGGTTCGAGAAATTCAAATCTGAAAGCAGAAAAAATCCATCACGTCAGGTTTTTGAGATATTTATATAAACATACCCCGTATTTCTTTTCTTTTATACAACTCTTGTAACTTTTTTATTTTTAAATACATATATATGAACATATAGTTCTTGGAGCAAATTTGTATCATTTTAAAAGATCATTTACGTAAATAAGTAACATGAGTGTCAATTTTTCAAGCTACTAGATTGTCATCAATATTTTATTTAAAATTTTTCAAGTACTGTTTTTAGAATAATTGGTTGCTTTTGATTTTTCTACGGGATGTGATAATAAAAATGTGAGGTTGGCTTCACAAAGATCTTTTACCATGATACAAATTTGCTCAAAGAAATATAGGTTTATCTTTAAGAATAAAGAAGTTACAGGGGTTGTATCAAATAAAAGTAACACCCAGTATATATTATAAACATTATGACTGAAAATTACAAATGATTAACACTAGCGTTTGTTTTATTGACAGTACTGTCAATTTCCGTTATAACAGACCAACAGTAACACATTTTCGTCCCAAAAACCTTGATACCTTCTTTTTAAGCATATTTGAACAGGTCTTCCCGCTTTAGGTACTATAATTTTACTACAAACGTAACAAAACTGATGTGCACTTATTTTGCACGATCTCGAAGACATTTTTTATGCGACAATGGTGCATTAACATAAATCAGTCTAACACTAACGTGAAGGTAAAAGCAAAGTTCATTATTTTGGATTTATGAAAAAACCTGACGTGATACAGATTATCCGTTTTTGGATTTGTTGTCAGTAAGTAATTTGGAAGCAAAAAATATTTTTTTTATTTCTGGATATGAAAAAAAGTTTAAATTTGTAAACTAGTGTAATTATAATCAGTACGACAAAAATGGTAGCTAAGTTTTAATTTTAATTGAATTTAATGCACGGATGGTCCCATTATAAATATAAGATAATGTAAATCATATTTAATTAATTAATTAACATAAATTTGTTAATCTAGTCTTAAAAACTCCTGGCAGAAGACAAAGAGGTGACTATGTTGATTGGCGAATCTGGTTGTCCTGGGGAGTAAGCTGAACTCTCCATAATTGGTTCTGTTGGTAGGATGGGAGGTTGATAAAATTGGAAGTTGGATCGAGTCGATAAGGAGGTATTGTATACAAAACTCACTTGACATACAACTTGTAAAACTTTTATAGACTTAAGCGTCTTAAGGCAATCCACCCTTATAATGGATAAGAACCGCAAGAATTATTACTGTCCATTGTTGCTATAGTGGAGCTGTAAAGTTTTACTAGGTATAGGTATATGAACTGAGTTATTGTCTTCCCAGTTTAAAGTGGTTTTTATGATAGGTCCATTGTGTCGAAGTTGATGATGGAGTAAATCCCTAGCCATAAATAAGAAAGTGGTCGGTTTCTTGCAGGGCCGTATTTTGTTATTCAACTCTTATTGTCCGTCGTGGGGTAATAATGAGGTGATAATGTTTATTATCTTGTCATAAAAACCACTTTAAACTGGGAGTACTATAAGTTATATAATAGTACCCCCTTTGACTTATAAGGGTGGGTTGGCTTAAGCCGCTTAAGTCATAAAAGTTTTACAAGGGGTATGTAAAGTGAATTTTGTATATTGGATGATTTTTTCTCGTATCGAAAGACCGTAGTTGAGTTAATTTATAATTTCCTGCAGCATTTTTAAATCGTGTTGGATTCGGTGGTTTGCCAAGGTGGTAATATTTAATTTGGTTTCAGTTTCATTTTAAGTCCACGTATTCTCAAGTGACATTTTGTACACAGTTAGCCAAATAAATTTGTGTTGAACTCGTTCTATTTTGTTAATATACACAAGGTAATGAGGGTTCCAGATGTTTGAGCAATATTCCAAATGTTGTCTTACAGGGAACAGTACAATTTTTTTATGAAATTAGAGAATTATATACTAAAAAGTCATGAAAACATCTTTTGACAAAACTTAGCATTTTGAGTGATTTACTAACTACAGAATTATGTGGTACAAAGCTTAGTTGTTGTTAAAAAATGATTCCTAAATCTTCCATTTCTGTAATATTTTTAGATTAAATCCACTGATCTGATAATCAAAATTCAAGGGACTTGTTGATTTTGAAAAAGATATTCCATAGCATTTTGTCTGTCTGGAGAAGTTGACAGTCATATATATTATTTACTACTGAGTAAAATTTTAGGTAATCAGCAAACAGTGACCTTGAATGATGAAAGTAATGAAAACAAGGGGGACTCCGGATGTTACTTGATTGAGGTAAGATACATAATTATTTAGACGAACGTATAAAGAACGATTATCTAGATACCCTTTAAATCATTGAAGGAGTGTGCCGTGAATGCCATAAGATTTTAACTTATGTACTAATAACTCGTGGTTAATTCTGTCGAAAGCTTTAGAAAAGTTTTTATGTACATGGAGTAAACCTGTTGTCCATTTTCTAGAGGATCTATTAAAAAATATGAATATGTTAGATTTCGCCCAGTAGTAGTCTCAGTATTTTTTCAAATAATTTAGGAATAGTGTTTAATATGTAAATTATATAAATAATAATAAAAATATAAAATAATACTAATAAATTCAAAGTGACAAAATAAATAATAATTTTCGTTCTGATTGTCATTCTACCTGTTTTAGCGTCTAATTAGTAATTAAAAATCTGGTCAAGAGGGCAGCCTTCTATTTTACTGTTTTTTTTTTCCGTATGTTGTAGTGTTTGTCATCCTGTTCGAGATAGTTATTATTTCGATATCAAACTCAGTGTAGGTAAAGCAGTGGCGGCTGGAGGATCAAAATTTCGGGTCGGCCAAATATTTCGAGTCTACACCTTGTGTTATACAGGGTGCCGCATCCAAGTCTGGATATAGGGAATTAACATGTGAATTGGTTTTTATTTTATAATATCTCCCCAGATCACTTTAAAGCTATTATTGAGTGATGCCTTTGTAGAGGTCGAAGAGGGCTATCGGCCAGTATTTTTTTCAAATCGTTGCATCGCGCTCATTCACTGTAAAAAGGTTTTAAAAATCGTATTTTGAAATTCGCGCCCGATCCGATTTGTCACGAAATGTTCCGTCGCACCGTCGAATTTCGGCGATCGCGTCTTTGGAATATCCATGCAAAATTCAAATGTCAAAGTGAAATTAGAAATTATTCTCAGAAATCAACGAACAACTCAAACTGAATTATTTTATCCAGTGTGATGATTATTGTAGGTCAGTTTAAACGGAATAAATGCACAAACTGTACAAAATATTTTATTAGGTTATGCTATGTTCTACTGCGATTAGATGAAAAAGCGAGGGCCTGCTTGTTTTTCAACGGTTAATTTAATTAGTAGGTAATTTGGGAAATTTTCACACTTTTTTTTCGAATCACTAAAGATTGGAAGTCAATTGGGTTTACATTCGTTAAGCAGGGCTGGAATTTTTGCCACCTGGAAGCATGTTCGTTACAAGAAATTTTTGAGAGAGAAATGTAGAACATTGACTCATCAACATTTTAAAGTATTTTTCTCTATTACGAATGTGTTTTGGGATTCAGAAACTTTTGTGTTACTGTTTTATTTGTTTATTGTGTTAACAACAACAAAAATAAAAATAATATTTCACAAAACAAAGTTACATTTATTTTCAAAGGTGATAAAAAGTAAATAAAATCAGGTGGGCACAACGTTTTCTAGGGATCTTAAAGAGATGGGATAGAAGAGTTTCAAAAAGCATCATGACAAAAAATTGAAGCCCAAGGACTACTTCTCACGTAGGGAGTTTTACGAAGGAATGCTTAAGAGAATCCAGGCTGATGGAGAGTTTTTGAGGAACATTTGTTTTACTGACGAATGTTCATTTGGTCTTAACGGAAGTTATAATCGTCAGAACGATCAAATTTGAGCATAACACAACCCTCACGTGGTCCATGACTATCGTTATTAATGGCGTGCAACTGTCAGTGTCTGACTGGGGCTTCTAGGACATCATGTCATTGCACCTCTTTTAATCGAATCTAGATTGAATGCTCAGAAGTAGGACAATATGCTCGCTCAGCAAATACTTCCTGGGACTCGAAGGGTGAGGCATCTGCAGCAGGTCTTTTACATCCAGGACCAAATCTCCAGCCATATAGCTCGCATAAATGTTCTTTATTTGAACCAGTATTTTCCCGCAATGTTGGAATGGAAAGTTTGCACCGCCCCATTGGTCTGTGCATTCGCGGGATCTAAATCTCTGGGAATTTTTTCTTTTGAGATTTCTTCACGACCATCTGTATTCAAACAATACCAGCTATACAAACAGAGACGCGCTGAAACAAGCAGTCCAACAAATATTGTCTTCAGATTGCAACGCAAATGCTGATCAACAAGCGTAGAAGTTTTGAAGATCGGCTTACTTACTGTACAGCTGCTGAGAGCAGTCTTTTTGAGCAATTCTTGAAAATAGTGCAATACTTCTCCAGATTCGTACAATATTTCATTACTTCATTCATCAACAATTGTTAAGTTTTGTTATTTGTAGTTATCTAAATGGTTCATTAAAAGGTTCTCTTCAAAAGCACCAGCTGTTTTGATGGTAAATCTTATCATCACACAATAAGAAAAGCGGGCCCTCGCTTTTTCATCTAATCGCAGTAGAACATGGCATTTTAATGAGATTTTAGTAATAAAGACTCGACCAGCACCAGCAACATAACCTAATAAAATATTCTGTGCAGCTTGTGCATTTATTCCGTTTAAATTGACCTACAATAATCGACATATTGGATAAAATAATTCAATTTGAGTCGTTCAGTGATTACTGAGTGAGGCAGCGCGAGTACATTCCTAGCTTGAGGGCTCCTAGGACATGTTACAATCCTGCCGATGGGGTTTTGAGGAAGACCAGCTGCTCGAAGTCTTCATCTCGGGCTTTTTGGATGCGGTCTGAGTGTAGTTCGAGATGGCTCGTTTGACGGGGTCGCGCACTATGACGAATGAATGGATCAATTTGTGCATTTATTCCGACTAATTTGTCCTACAATAATCATCACACTGGATAAAATAATTCAGTTTGAGTTGTTCGTTGATTTCTGAGAATAATTTCTAATTTCACTTTGACATTTGAATTTTGCATGGATATTCCAAAGACGCGATCGCCGAACTTCGACGGTGCGACGGAACATTTCGTGACAAATCGGATCGGGCGCGAATTTCAAAATACGATTTTTAAAACCTTTTTACAGTGAATGAGCGCGATGCAACGATTTGAAAAAAATACTGGCCGATAGCCCTCTTCGACCTCCACAAATGCATCACTCAATAATAGCTTTAAAGTGATCTGGGGAGATATCATAAAATAAAAACCAATTCCCATGTTAATTCCCTATATCCAGACTTGGATGCGGCATCCTGTATATTTTCGTAATGTATGGCCGCTACTTGTTAACCACTGACATTTTACGTGCCAGGATGTACAAAATCATCTCGAATGTTTCGACCTCGACTTGTTAAAATAATTTTTATAGGAAATTGACACTGTCAATTTGATTCCAAATACTATTAATCCTTAATTTTACTTGTTCTGCCTTATCATTAATTGAAAACCACCGAAAAAATTATTTTTACTGTGTTCCGCGTCGACCGGCGGCTACGGCTTGCCGACCCCAGACATCCACAATTAAATGCAGTTAAAAATATAAAAAAAGTAATAATAAAACTACCAACTGTTAACTATTTTTATTTACATTTAATTTTTTAAAAATGTATATGGCAAATTGCCAAATAAATTAATTGAATAATTATCGAATTAAAATTAAAACGATTTAAAACATTAAATTCATTTCTGAAAAATCTGAAAACGCTTAGATGCCAAAAATATAGAAAAAACGCATTTATATTGTAGCAAAGTAATGTATGAGCAATACAATTTTAGATAATTTAATGCAATTTTTTTTGTTTATTATTCATACACAGGAAAATGTATTAAATCAACAATTATTATAAAAAAAAAAAAAATAGTAAGCACTGAAGAACATCGAAGCCGTTATTGTTTTGTAACTCTCTTGATCAGGTTTTTATTTAGACACGGACCTCATAATCCTCATAGGTTATGTGTGATAAACAATGCGCGGAATTATATCTCAGTGCTGCAGTCCCCCAGTTGAAGTAAGGTGTGTTTTAGGGCGAGTAGCGGGGACGCTTTGATCTGGTCCACAAGGTCGTAGCCAGCTAGTAAAAAAACTACTTCTATATTACTATATATTACTTCAAATAATAATACTCGGTGCCCTTTTCAATTTTTCAACCATAGGACCACAGATTTGTGATCTTGAAATGTTATATTATGTTAATATAATCTAAAGAAAAATATATTTGTAAACAAAGTATCGACGCGGCAGCACTGGATTCCGCGTCTTGGGGATAAAACAAATGAGCACTGTGTACCGTCTATGTATAAAAGGTCTTTGGTAAGAACGATGACGTCACGACGTAACCAATCAGAGCTTGCTTTGATTAGAGATCCTTGATCGAAAAAGTAAACAATTTTGAAAGTCTAGTTGAAGGTTAGTTACTAATGTTGGAATATTTACCAAGTCATGCTGTGGCATCTGAAACCAACGAGCCTTTGCAAATTCGACACTCTGGAAGGTGACTCGCAGTTCTTCAATAATATCAATTTTCAATCTTGCGAAACTTATCTAATTACATTTATCTGAAATGTCAACAGTGCACTAGTGCCAGCACGTGGTTTTTGACAACAGGTCGTCAGCGAACGAGGTTTAGAAAACGAATTTTTGTCAAAATCTCTTTTACAAATGTTCCCTTATACTGAAATCCTTTGGTAGTTTCACCGTTAATTAAAATGGCACTAGAGGATCCCGCTTATCGCATTACACCGGCACAACAAGCCGCAGCTTCGTGTACCGGGGCTATTTTAACCTCACTTTTAGGTTAGTCAGGAACACGGTCAGGAATAAAGAAATATGCATAATATTGCTTTTAAATTTTAGTAACACCTTTAGACGTAGTCAAAATTAGATTGCAAGCACAACAAAAGTACACTGAAAGGACAAACGCAAACGGTAGATGTTATTTATATTGCAATGGACTTATGGACCATTTTTGTGGTTGTGGTCCTGGAAATGGACAAAAACAGTGGTTTCAACGACCTGGACATTTTAATGGAACATTAGTGAGATCATTTGAAAATTAGCAAAATAAATCCCTACAATTTGTGATATTTAAGGACGCATTTATTAAAATTAGTCGGAATGAAGGTATTTTTTCTTTATGGAGTGGATTAGGCCCAACGCTGGTCCTAGCCATTCCTACCACAATTTTATATTTTGTATCATATGAACAGTCACGGTTATATTTAAAAGAGTTGTACAACAGACATTTGCCACCAGATCGTGAGAAAGTGCAACCTCATTGGATACCATTAGTTGCTGGCGCAACAGCAAGAATTTTTGCAGTTACAGTTGTTAATCCATTAGAATTGGTTAGAACTAAGATGCAGTCTAAACGAATAACATATACTGGTAGGTGATAAAATTATCTGAGTCTTTTTTTTTAACCTTGATTATAGAAATTAGAAAATCACTTAAAATATTCATACAACAGAATGGATATGCAGGCCTATGGACAGGTATTGTACCTACATTGTGTAGAGATGTACCTTTTTCTGCTATATATTGGATGAGTTATGAAAATATAAAGGAATATTTTGGGTCTGAAGTACCAACTTTGGGACTTAGTTTTTTTGCAGGCGCTGTATCAGGATCTGTAAGTGATTGCAGTGATGCTGACTTAGTTGTACGTATTTGTTTTTAGCTGGCTGCATTTTTAACAGTACCGTTTGATGTGGTAAAAACACATCAGCAGATAGAAATTGGTGAGAAGACAATATATACTGATAAACCAAAGAAATTAAAAACAATGTTTGAAGCTATAAGAGACATTTATAGGCACAATGGATATCGGGGTTTGTATGCTGGTTTAGTTCCGCGACTAGTCAAAGTTGCCCCAGCATGCGCCATTATGATTTCCTCATTTGAATATGGCAAAGTATTCTTTTACAGGTTAGCTAACCAAGATTCAGATCCATTTGTTTCTAAACCAGAAAAACTGTAAACAGTAGAATGCATCTTCAGTAATTTTAAGATAAAAAATCAGATGTAATTTGTTGTAGAACTGATCATTCAGATAATTTGATCATTATGTGGGCAAAAAAGGTGATTATTAGGTTCTTGCTTTTGGTAAAGGAACTGAGCGTAATTTAGAGGTGGTATGTGTGATATAATTTGTATAGTACATTATTTAAGGCAAAAGTACAAATATGTATTGCTAGATCAAGTAGCACTAGAGGACGATGGTTGAGAAATGTCCAGTGTAAATGTAACTGCATATATTATTAAAATTAACCAGATTTAGAGTTTGAGGTAATTAATATGTTTGTTAACATCCTTTGTTTTGTTATAAAGAGTATCTGAGGCTGTTATCATAAAAAATACTTATTCATAATACAGTGATCTCAACAGATTATCTGTGAAACTGAATTTTAACAAATATCTAGGACGCTATGAAAACTGCATAATTTGCACTATAAGTTTTTCAGATTTTTTGATGTTAGTAACTTTTCATTCAATAACCATACGGTATTAATGTCTATTACTTTTTCATGTATACCAACTTCACTTTGAAATCTTTTGGAATCATCGATTGAGATACATTTTTTTAATAGAAACCCAAGTTTTTTTTCATGAATATTATTAATTAACTCATAAGTGACTGTATTAACTCCTAGGGATTTTGTTACTTCAAATTTTTTTTAAATAAAAAAAGTTGGTTTGAAGTTATACAGACGAACAAATACAGATTCTACGAAAATTTATAAAATTGAACTGTGTGAATTTAATTTTTTTTATGTTAAAGCAAAGGTATGCCTAGACAAAGTGCAAATAAAGATGCTATACGTATGTTTCAAGTGAGTTTTGTGTAACAATTTTGTGATGACGCCATCAAGATTTTAGAAACGACACGTATATCACTTTGAATAAGTGCAGTGTAATACTAATAATAACAGTACTGTCCACTCAAATTTTCGATAAAAGGGGGTGAGCCGCTCTTGATTTGATTAATAAAATATATTGCTTCCCTCATTAATTTTTTTTTGAGTCATTCTGTATAAGTAATTCTAAAAAATATGAATACATTGATACAAGTGTAGATTTACAATTGTAAATCTTGGAGATGATGGCATCCCATTCTTGATGGGGATGAGTAGACCAATTTTGGCAAGCTTTTAACCATTTACACGATATTCATAACATGCATATAAAATTTGACAACAATCCAGTCCAGTAGCTTCGGAGATTACCTGTCGTAATAAAAATTGACACAGACAGACGACAGACGGAAACGGGGGACTTACTTTTTGGTATTCTGCTCCTAGAGTAGGTATAAAGGTAACCATTGGTCGAATGGACGCAATTACAATACTTCCTTTCCTTATGCTCACGAAGTAATAAAATTACTGTTTATGAAAAAGTTTATTCAATTCAAAGATTCAACACAACAATAAACGTTCTTAGACACAATTTTCATCGTCTTTTATCATATTTATACTATAAAAAAAAAAAAAAAACCAAATTAGGTAGTTAGAATAAAAGTGTAAAATTTGATTTATTTAGTAAGTTTCTTTCGCATTTCCTTAAAACACCTAGGGGTCTTTACAATTTTCTATTTAATCATGATTTTGTTATTGTTAGTTGTAGTTAACCATATCTTTATTGGAAGTGTTATATACGTTAATGAAAAAAATTACCAAGTTCGATGGTACGTTGTTAAGAAGGCTCTGAAAGAAATCTAGAAAAAAATGCTTAAAAATACCCCTACACTAAACTTTTAAAAACATAACACTTCAAAGTTGAAGAATTAGCTTCATAATAATTCTGATTTCTTTTAATGAACTGCATAGGCGGTTAAATAATTAGTTCTTCATAATTTAATAATTACTAGAATACGTTCCACGTTATGGAATTTTTTAATATTTTTTTTGAGTTCTTCAGTCTCTTGTATAATGAAAAAAAACCGGTTTTTTCTATTTTTTTTGTTTATAATAAGGGCATTTATAGTTACTATTATTAGTGTTATCAAAAAATGAACAACACTGTTTTATATTTACACAAACATTTTCTACTGTTAATTTATTAGCTTCATATTCAGACATGGATTCGCGTTTTCAATGCTCCTTTTTATGTTTATGACTTTGAAGTATGTTTTTTCTTCCACAAGATTTCAAGTGTGACATGTTTGCTACTTAGCGAGTCCTCTGAAAATTTACTTCAATAATTTAAGCCATCAAAACACAAATTTGTTAAACTAACTTCAGTAACATATATTTTATCTTCAGCATCAGGCATCTGTTCTATATGTTCCCACTCGCTTCATTTTTCATTACACCACTGGCTTTCAAATTTGAATTTTCTGTATGAGAGTTGCTGTAGTCAAGGAGTCATTGTTAATACAGAATTGTTGTTAATTTATTTTATTTTTGACCTATAGATTAAAGTTTCACAGACTCTGTTGACATTACCACTACCAATGTCACAAACTCGTTTAGTTTGACAACAATTGTTAATTTTAAATGCATAGTTAAGGTTTAATTTAAACCAATACCGAATTAAAGTTTATGTAGAATTAATTCCCGAGCTTTGAAATTTGTGTAGATATTTACGTGAAACGTCAGCATAAAACGAGTTGTGATTCTGATATTATATGATAATGATATTTATATGTAATGGCATTTACATGTGTTTCATGTTTACATATTCACATTACATAACTAGTTATTATAAAACCATCCCCAATATACTTACAAAAACAGATACAAATATTTATTGTAAAGATGCATAGTAATAATTTTATTACTTTTGTTTGTGATTTTATCTTACATTTTTTATCTTATATACACACACACATACATATAGTATACATAAATCTTTTTGGGACACAGTTATAAATCAACAAAAAAATATGTTTTTTACATGCAACAGAGTTATATTTTATGGATAATTTTTGCATTAACTTTCACATTATTCACATAATAAACTGGTCACAATTCCGCTGCAGAAAACATGGTAAAACTATACGAACAATCAATGTAAACAGTTTGTATGTTTTGTTAATATCAGTTTTGACTTTCATAATCAAACACACAATATACATGTACAATAATTTATTACAGAGTAAAAAAATATTACAAAGTTGTGTGGGATAATAATTTGAAATAATCATTATACGTATATATGGTATGTTAGTTGTAAAATTGTGATTAGTTTGTATATAGGTGTTAGAAATTGATTTATAATATTCTCAGCACAGTTCAACTTCTAAAAAATTCGTCCTGATATCACATATCAATAGGCATAACAAAATAAATTGTGAACACATTTTAAATTATTGGGTGGATGGTGGATTGGATTTGACGTAAAAAATAAATTTACCTTTGTGCTATTTGTAAGACTGCTTCAAAGGGAATTTTAGTTGAGTGTTATTGGTGCTTAAAGTATTGAATATAATTATTGTCGATTTTGTTGGCATCAATAAAATAGAGAGAAAACGAAATTTGCAGATAATTATATTGCGAGAAAATTATAACGTGGGTGGTTTTCTTGTGAACATTAAATTAGAGTTCCATAATTAAAAGAAATTAGGTGCTACATTTGTAGAAAAAAAATTACATAAAAGCAAGGGATATAGACAAATTAATTAGAGAAAAGGAGTTTCTAATAATACGTTTTAGACAACTGTTTATGTCTTTTGTTATTACCTTTACATAGTGCGTTTGGTACGTTATTTTTCATCACTCTGTGTAGTATAGTAGATGAAGCTTTTGTGTTGGACTATTAATGTTAATATTAATAGTTTTGTTTCTAAAAAAGTACAGAGGATAACAACGGTCTGCCAGGGCCGCCTTCTGTAGATATGGTGTGTTAAAATTTAATTGATTTTGTTTTTGGCAGATATAACGAATTTATGTTTCACCATGGTGCGAGTCTTCACGAAATAACTGATTTTTACGCCGAAGAATACTTTCCCCCTGAACATACTTAGGTATAATAAAATTAGACAGTTTGCTTTAAAACTTTATTTAAAATGTATGAGGTCATGTGAGTGTGTATACATATTAATTATAAATATGGAATTACAAGCCTGTTGTTTAATAAAAGTTTTATTTATGACTGTAGCTTATTATTACTTTGCGATGAATTTCCTTGGTGTGTGTTTGCTGTCGCTGAAGATGTTTATTCCAGAGCTTTTAAGTCAGTATTTGGCAGAAACAATGAAATTATAATACAACCTAAAACATAATAGCGCTTGAAAGAAAATACAAAAAGGATTGATATATGTTGGTATCAATTGTTGTAGTGTCCCATTTCGAAATTAAACTTAGTACCAAAAAAAAAAAAAATAGATCGCGAAATCGCTTTTACAAGAATAACTCTTTCCAGTAATGTAGACAATGCTTTCAAAAATTGTAATGGTTGGCAGTGAGGATCTTTTGCTTCCTCACCAGACGGTCAGATAGATTTAGTTAGTCTAAGCGAAAAGATCTGCTCTCAAGTGTGTGGTGTTCGAAGTCATATTATGTGTTTGGAAACTTTTTACGTTTCATTTTATTCTAACATTTTTCTGTATTTTATTGAAAATACGGCCCAAATTTTAATATGTTTGTGAATGTGAGTTTAAAATGTTTTGGCGAGATTTGTTTGCTAAAAGTTACTGTAGCGATGCTAACTTAAAACACGATTTGAACAGGGAAATGGTATTTTTTGCTTATCTTGTGTTACAATTTAAGTATGCGTTCTACGACTTGAATTTTGAACATTTATTCTTGAACACTCTCACAGCGAAGGGTGCACCAAAGTCACATTTTTATGATTTCGACCATATCTACTATGTACTTGTGTTTTTATTTATGCAATGGAGAATTGGTTTACGATGTGACCTTGATGAATTCATTTTGATTTAACCAGTAACTTGTCGGTTCACGTATAATTTAATATCATGTATAAATACTTTCAAAATTAAAAAACCACCAACACTGCATTTTACTTTGAAAATACTATATTATTAAAAGAGGGTAGGTTATAACTAATTCATAACGATCGCAAGACTCAATGGCAGAATTTGGAAGTATTTTGACATTTCAAAGCGTTTTAAAGAGAGATAATAAACTCAAATTCTACAAACGTTAAAATAATTGAAATATATTTTTTTTTAATTTTGGTAAAAACAACTATACATCCTCATTGGTTTTGTTGCTATAATGTGGTGTAACGAAATTTTGCTTGCTCTGTAGTTTAATCCGCGTCATAACTTCGGGAGCACAAATTTTAGACGTATAAAGTAATGTCCACGTAAACAGTTTTGATTTGTTTTCAGCTTGCAACAAGAATAAACGCAACAAGCAACAAATTACCGTGATGTATAATTTGAACTCCTCATGTAGATTTTGGTTTTGTTTGTATTTAAATTTGGAATCCATTCACTTTAGGTAAGATGTTGTGAACTAAAGAATTGTATTAACTTCACAACGAACTGTATTTTTGTGACATAAAATTGTAATCTCGTTTTTGAAATGAACGAGATTTTTGTGCCTAGCTGAAACAACAAACATTTGATAAACTTGTTCACTCCATATTTTTGTATTTTAATTCACGGTCACTTTTCTATCTTTGCGGTTTCCCACTTTGCATTAGAACGCATTCCGCCATTTCAAAACAGAACGTAGGGTTCCATTTTGTTGTTCACATCTTATGACCAAATTTTAAACTTTTGTGTGTTTTCAAATTTTTGTGCGCATGTCCTAGTTTCGGCGGAATATTTGGGTTATCACGTAGAGCTGTGCGGTCGAAATTTATTTATCCCCACTATCCGTCCGATCAGGCCAGCAGTGCAGGCCGCTGCAGTCTTGCCTTCCTCGCTTCTCGCTTCCAATTGTGTATTATTTTTCATAATTCACACCAATCGTTTTATTGTCAACGAGACCGACACTTGAACATTATTAAAATTATTATTCTTATTATTTCGTGGATATGGATTTTAAAATCATCAACTGACTGTCAGTGAACATTATTTTTCGCGTAAATTTCTTCGCGATACGTAACATCGGCTGCAGCCACTGGTCTGCCGTAGTAGGGGTCGATTCGAAGCGTTTAAATTTCGACCGCCTAGCTCTATTATCAGGTATCAATAGCGCACCTCTATACTGCATTCCACTTTGAGTGGGCAGCGAAAACCCGTAAGCAATGCAAATTTGCAAAACCTACCGACTACTGAAAAATATTATATATATTTTATCATAAAGTTTTTATAATTCCGCTTCCGCATATGTTCATGTTAAAATTATTTTATATATTTAAATTTCATAGTAAATCGCAATATTTCTAGAATTTTCGTAATTTTAGAATTGCGTTTTTTGGTTATTTATCACGCCATGTTCAAAAACTATTCAAGATTTCGTCTCAGTTTTTTAATAGTAATTTAACCAAATATTATTGTATTAATGTCTTTAAATGTTAAAAAAAAAAACAAAACGTGATCTGTTTATTAAACGTGTATTGAAATTTTCAACAATCGAGTTTCTTTTCATTGAAGATTAAAGCCAATCATTGGCAAAATTGTAGATGATGGCCTAAAATAATGTATGTAATGAAGAAATAAGTATTTGATAATGATCTTTGTACCTAATTGAAGTCAAAATTTTTAAACTCTGGCACATTAACTGAGATGATATTTATGCATTGTTTGGGGCAGAACTTGATTGAAAACATAGGTATCTAATTAGAACAAAGACTTGTTATTAATTATCTTAATTTTTCAAACATTATTTCAGTGTATTGATTTCTATTTTCCGCCAGAAAAGTTTCAATATTTTGAGCAACAAAAAACCCTCATTTAATGAAAATTTCGCAACACATGTTTCGTGCGCTCAACAAAGAAAAATTTTTTAAAGAAATTTAAAGATATGAATATAATCAATAATCATAGTTACATTGTTAGAACCAGTACTGTTTGTGTGTACTACCGTTAAAAACCTAAACAAAATAAAAATCGCATTTTAAGACGAAGGGATGCGGAATGACAAGAGACTTTCCAGAAATTGTACAAATTCATATAACGACAGAGTTAAATTACGTCTTAAAATTATTGTGGCCGACAGAGTAATTTTTTTATTATGTAACTTGACGAAACTTTTGCTGTGGGTATTTAGAATTATTATTATCAAGGTTCATCAGTGATCCACATAACGAGAAGTAATCAGGAAACTATACTTATTTCAATTCATTCCCTTTATAACCAGTTTACCGATATAGCAATATTGAAAATAATACAAAAAACAAGAAGGAAATTATTTTCAATAGATTTGTATGCGACTTACTGATGGTTATGCCTCCCAAGGTAAAGAATGGTGCCCCACATCCAACTTGGAGCAGAATTGGAAATATCAAGTTACCCACAATTGATCCAAGTCTACCAGACATTAAAACCAGCGAAAGGGCTGATGCTCTGTAACATCGTATAATTCAGTCAACTTTTATGTATATATATAAATAAAAAGATTTGTATACCTTAGGTATGTTGGGAACAAATCTACCGCAATTGCAATTACTACATCTATGCAGACACACGTACACATTAAATAAATACAAATTAAAATTAAGCCACTAGTAGAATTTGGCGCGAAGTAAATGGATAATACTGCAGTTCCACTAACTGTTCCTAGAATAGCTAAAATATCCATGCCATCTTTTGTGTTTAAGCTTTTTTATATACTTACCCAATATTTTTTTCTTTCCAAGTTTATTAATACAGAATGCTGCTATAAAGTAACCAACAACTGCAGTAAATGCAACAATAATGGAATTTATATAAACAGAAGAGTTGTCGAAGTTCTAGTGAACATAGTTTTCGTATTTACTAAGTTTAAGATTAAAATTATTATATTACCATCAGACATGTTTCATCATTATTTGCGGTAGACTGTAAAGTGTTGAGCATGCTGCAAAATGAACCGGATTCATTATTTTCAAGTATATAGTCGTTTATTAACTGAAAAATTTGTGGCAACCATAGGCGTAACGAATTGGTTCTGAAATCAAAAGTGAAGTACGTGCGTAAGTAAAGTCATATAACAGTACCCCATCATTAAAAAGAATTCTAATAAACAAACTAAAAGTAATTTATTGGCATATCGTAGCGAAAATAAAGGTGATATTTGTATCCAAGCCTCTTTTAACGTGTATTTCTGCTGATATATTTGTTTGTCATCTTTTAATTTTTTTACTGGATATTGTTCTGGATCTTGTCTGGTGTTTAGTTTGAATATTTGTTGGAATATTTCTAAAGCGTTTTCATTGTTACCTTTTGACATTAAATATTTTGGACTCTCTGGTATAATTAAGAAAAACAGTCCACTTGTTAAGGCTGGTAGTGTACAAATAAGCAAGAATATATTCCACGCATGAAGTTCTAAAAATCATGGGTAATATTTTGAAACCCGTAAACAGATCGAACCATTCTACCAAAGCCTTCAAAAACATTAATATTTATGTTTAAGGGTAAAAGTGCCCAAGCAAGAAGCGGTAAAAAGATGTTTCCGACACTGTAAAGAAGGCCTAACGTCAAAGGAACTCTAGATCTGTATTGGGTGCCATGAAATTCAGACAAGTAAGGTGTTAATGCCATAGAAGGTCCATTTATTCTGAAAACAGAAATTAATTTTTTGTTGCTTAAGTACTTGTTTACCTCATAAACCAGCGTAATGCCAAGCGTTTGTCACAATGTTTTTAGGTACATTGAGGAGAAGAATGCATAAAATCGCGCTGGTGTATGGGATATTCCAATAGCAGAGGAAGTTATGTTATTATTATTAAAAATCGCTTACACAAATCCTCCAAAAAATTTTGCCACCAGTAAAACAGATAAATTTGGAGCAAATGCCGCCATAATGACAAAAACGCTGTCGATTAAATGTGTTATAATTAAGATTCTGCGACGTCCAAAAACATCAACCAGGGAACCCCAAATAAAGCAACTGCTTATCATTCCTAAAAAGTATGTGTATCATGCATAGTGTTATCATCAGAAAAAATCACGATTTTCAAAATGAATTTTTTTTTATCACAGATTTTTTATTAAAGGCTATTTTATCAAGTTCATTTTTAAAATTGTACCTCCGAACAATCTTTATCGGCGAATCTATTTTCTAAAAGAAATTTAATTTTAAAATAAACAATTCACGGAATGAAAGTGTGTGTTTATTAAATTGACGCCAACAATCAATACCAATAATGAAAGTTTCGTTTTTAGAAGCTAAAAAGATTAACTATTGTCTACAATACATATAACACTTTGGACAGTTTTTTACCAGATACGTTCATTATCAGCGTTGCGGTAAATATATATAGTTATTCAGATATACCATGTTTAATGGAAATTGCAGCACCCAAAAAAAAAGTGGCCGGATTTTAATGAGGAATAACGAGTCTGAAAAAATTTTTGTTGCAACCAACAATACTTTTCACAATTTATTTCGCTGTACTTCTTTAAAAAGACATACTTAGTTCATAGTTTGAATCCATGATGCCTGTAAATCTAACGATTCGTGGGTATTTTTTGACAAACTCTATATAATTTTCAAAGATTTTATTCAGGTCAGGTGTATTTAAATTTTATGAGAAACATTGTGCCAATGTTGTTAAAGGAGGTAAATTTACAGAGACAAAACACGTGGTTTCAATAGGATCGCGCACCCCTGCATTTCCACAAAGATGTGACAGTATTTAGATGCAATGTATGCAAATAAGTAGGGGTTCAATTAAAATTTGGTCCCTTAGAAGTTCTGATACAACTCCACTAGATTACTTTTTATGAAGAATGGTCTAAGATCGTGGCTACCAAACAGCTATCAACAACAGAGAAGATCGAATAACTGTTGCTTGTAGATCTGTAACGCTAGCGTTGTTTATGAGAAGTTGCTACGTTTGGTTCTTAAGATGTTGTCAATATATTTTCAGAATATAATATGTCCATTATTAACACACTTATTGTTATGAAATTTTAAATACCTATAACTTTCACTAGATAATATGCGAGGGCAGCTGAAAATGGAAGAAGAAATTTGGACGTTTTTAATTATTGTGCAAACTGTCTTGATTTTAGAAAAAATCTTGTGTGTATTACGAGCGCAAATTCATTGCCGATTTCGAGAGATTGCAGCGCTCCTTCGTCGCGCCGCAACTTTCTCTCTCAATCGGCAATGTATAATTTTGCGCTCTTAATACACAAATAGCTATTTCCGTTAGTCTTTAATATCTAAATTGAAAAACTTTTAGATACGCTTGCTTTGTTTACATATTTATCAAAAATGGAATTTTTAATCTACATAAGCTCTCAAAGTAAGTATTGTTTGATGCATCAAAAATGTTTTCATCATTTCTCGTGAATCACTCTGTACTATATAGACAAAACGTCGAAATCGTAGCCATTATCTCGAGGATACTTCAATTGCAGACAGATAAGTCTGTTTTGTCACATTTTGGCAAGAACTTTTAGTGTCTAGAAGATAATGACTGACGTCAAGTCAAGAACTTTTTGGGATCTTTCACTTTTTACTAGAGACAAATATGTTTCTGTGCTAGATATAACACTGTCATAACCTTACTTTTAAATTTTAAGACATTGTGGTTCTCTAATAAATCTTTGTGAAGGGAAAACAGTTTTTGGAAATTACCGGTAAATTAGACGGTCGGCATCGAGATACCTTTTTGCTATGAAAAATTAAGAAATTGCAATACAATTTTCCAGTCATGTCTAGATTCACTTTGATATAACGACAGAAACTAGATAATTATGCGGATCATTAGGTTCTATCGCAATGTATAAACTGACAGAGTTATATTTTCGTTTTCATTATGAATTCTGACATTTCTGACTTAGGTATTTGTTACTTTAATAGTTTATCCAACCAACATCATGAAATGTTGTGTCTGCCTAACCTACAAAAGGAAAACTCAGCTAAACTGTTACCTATTTTAATTAGCTAGTACTATATGTTTCATCTGAAACAGTAATAGTATAATTAAAGCAAACTATTGTGCAAACCTGTGTATATTATAGCATTGACTAGTCCTCGGTCTTCTAAGGATAAATTTAAATCACACTGAGCTGCTGGAAAGGCATATGATAAAGATGCTGTTTCGAACTGCGACGCAAAAACAGAAGGTATAGCCACCAGCAGTAGTATTAAGTTGAAAGTGCCAAATTTTGTTTGTGCAATAGCGGTTTCAAAATCAGCCACGTTTCCTAAAAAATAGTAAAGTAATTATCTGGAAAGAACAAGGCGTCAAGTTGTCATTTACAAAGGAATTTGTCACGTGTATTTTATTTGTATGTTTTTTGACAAAAATAAAGTCGTAGATTTTTACAGTGTATGCCTAAAATATAACTATGTAGAGGAAACAACGATCATATGTGTACGGACAAAATATGTGTTGGTGAAACCATTTTTCTCATCAATAAATTTTAGTGTTTATAAATAATTGCAATTTATAATCTTCGATTTCTCTTTAAAAATAGTAAAAATTTTTATGATTCTTGCAATTTATACTAATACGAGTGTTAATGAAAAAATAAAACAAAACATTTTAAATACAGGAATTGATATGTGTTTATAACGACTGAATACTTTTTTTAAATTTCGAAAAAAGATTTGAGTGTTTATTTTAACGATTCCTCTAAAGTTACGATCGTGTCCATCAATACCATCTCAAACAACTTTTGTGTATAATGTAAAACACAATTTTCATTTAGGATTTTCATTTTAAATGTTATTTATTGGATTATTTAATCGGACCTTTCAGATCTCTTGCAACATTATACAGTAGCGGCTCGTGGTCTTTTCCTTAGGTGAGGCAACATTTTCGTTTCAAAATCAGCTGGTATTAATTAACATGTTCGCAATTACTTTTGTTAAAAGACAGATTGTTTATTCGTTTTTATGAAAACAATACAAATAACTCTTAGTCAGGAACATATCTCGATATGGATACACTTCTCGAATAAAAAACATTTAACTGATTCACACAAACCAACGAGAAGGTGTAAAGACTACAGAATTTGCTTTATTAGCATTAATATTAATCCATATGATCTAGGGCTGATTTAAATATATTAATCAATTAATTAATAAAGTTCTGCTTAAATCTGGATGAGAGGTTCTAAATCTTTGACATACAATTGTTCGTCGTAAGAAAAACGTGCTTAAATATTTAAACTTTATAAGAAATTCTGGAGATTAGAAATTCTGATGTTCCTATCAGCATTGCAAAACTGACATTTTCATTGTCCTAAAAGTTTTAATACATAACCTTGGCAGTGAACACCTTTCCTCGCGTCTAATTAACGCACAACTAAATGCACACTGAATGCATTCAGCATCCCTGTTCAGCATTGTGCAGTTTCACGGTGAGATTAAAAAATTCGATCTGATTGGCTTAAAGACGGTAGGCGTTGGTGCCTCCGCTAGCGCTTTGATAAAGCACTGATGACTATTGTCTTTCACAAAAACATATTAACAGCACTGACTAATCGTACTGAAGATATCCGTCTATCTGAGGCATGCCTCTGTCTGAAGCTGGCCTACACGATGATGATCAGCGCTTATTCCTGTCGAAAGCGCGTACTTCAAAATATGTTACCAAGATGCGTTTTAATAAATCACAGTGTTCTATAAAAGTTATTTGCTATATCTTTAAAGTATATTTGAAATTAACAGATATTAAAACAAAAGCTAATAGTCAATTTTTCCAGGGGAGGCACTGCCTCCCCTGCCTCCCTTGACGAGCCGCCACTGAACATTAAAAAAATCAGAATTCGTAGTAAAAAATTAATTAGTTGTTGAAACTCTTTTAGAAGAGGGAAACAGCTGACTTTCAAAATATTTTAGCCAAGTGAGGCTTTCATCTAGGGTTTCCTTCCAAAATTTAAAAATAATCTCATTAATTAAATTTTAGTAACCGGTGTTTTGCAAAAACGCTAGGTTAATTTTTGGAAGACAAAACCATTACTTAGTAAACTATTTTACTCAGAATTTTAGGGAGTCTCAGTATTTCTTTTTACATTTCAGCAATAACTACAGATTTTACTCAAGTGGAAACATATTTATAAAATGATACTGTTTGGAAACATCTTCTCATATATTAAATTTTAGTAACCGGTGTTTTGCAAAAACGCCAGGTTAATTTTTGGAAGACAAAACCACTACTAAACTATTTTATTCACAACTTTTGCATTAGTTTTTTTAAATTTTGCTAATACCATAATAATTTTGGTAAAAAATTTTTGGAAAAAGACTGTGTGTTCCGAAGTTTGATACTTTATAGATAAAAAAGTTGGTAATGAAACGCATTATAGATCAAACTACCTGAACAAAACTATTCATATTAATTTGTAGATAATTTTAATGGACTAACTAATTAATTAGAGTTTAATTTTATAGACTGCTTAATTAGCAAAAATGTGAAAAGTGGTATGATATAAAAAGAGACATCTGAGACTTTTAAAAACACTATTTCAATTTTTTTCAATTGTATTATTATTTCAATGTTATAAATTATTTTTTAAATGAACATCTTTTGAAAAATTGTTTATTTTGTTAACTTTTATACTTCAATTTTTTTCTAGGAATGACTACATACATTTTAGACACTATCTATATAGTAATAAAAATAAATGATGGATGTGTTTTACCAGTCAAATAATAGAGTATATAATAACTACTTTACTGAATTTACCTGGATCCGGTGTTGTACATTTTTGGTTTTCGTTGATCACTGATGGGCAAACGATGTTGTCTTCTACTTCTTTGTTAACCATTTTAGCGAGTCTCAGTATTTCTTTTCACATTTCAGCAATAACTACAGATTTTACTCAAGTGGAAACATATTTATAAAATGATACTGTTTGGAAACAGCTTCTCATATACTAGTTTTACTGGTTAAATGCATTGTTTAAGGTGGGAAAATAACAACTCCTTTGTTTCTAGTTCTATGTGATACAACACTAAGCTCATAAACAAATTTAATTAAGATTTTTACCTGGATTTTTGTTATTCTTATAAATTAGGAACAATGAATAATTTATATTGCTGTACGTTGAGATGTACCTATAATAAGTAAACTGACGCAATATAAGTATGTAATGTTGAATAAAAAAACAGCTGTTTAATTTATCTCAAATAATAATATTCGAATATACTGAAAAACAAAGAAGATTATCTTATAGGAACACGAGGCATAGGTGTGGTGTTTGTGTTTGATTTAATTATTTTATTATTTTTATTCTTTGACTGACGTTGATGACATGTAATATTAAAATTGTAGAGCTTTAAAAAACGATTGTATATCCATCTTCAAGTTGGCGTTGACCGTATAAGCTGGTTTTTGCCTCTTGTTTGTGTAGCAGATGAAAAAATAATATGTCGTCAGAGGCCAGCTTGACGAAGTCTTTTTGTTGACAGCACCTTATGTCTTATTCAATAACTTTGTACGCATTTCAGGTGTTTTCTTAAAATTTAATGGAATCAGATTAGCGTAATCAATAATCATACTTTACTCATAGAGACTAGTAGAGATCAAAAGCATTATAGTAATACTTGTAATGTAAACGGTTACCACAATATTTTTGGTCCATTTATAACGCAGATAACGTAACCATAATGTTGTTTGTTTAAGACTTTGTTGTTTACTATTAATAAATCAGCCTCTGCAGGACATCCTATAGAAAAATTTTGAACAAAATATTCCTTTGTTATATATTATATGTTTTGCTGTAGAAAACGGCGGTTAATTGTAGATACTACAAAGTAATACCGAAAACAAAAATAGTGTCACTTACCTCCCTAGGGCTACTTACCTCGCTAGGCAAGTAAGTGAAATGACAGGACTCGATACAACACCACCGTTTAATTTTTACGATTTTTGTAACAAAAATTAATAAAACATGTCTCTGAAATTATCTTTAATTAATACCCCTAGCAACGCAAAGGCGGCCAACTATTTTCATTAGATTTTATGCATTTTGGCAATATTGAATTAATTATTTGTTGGTTTAGCGATTGGGTCGGGAAAAATTAATAGGAAGTATACATTATGCGGGAAGTAACGGATTAACCCTGTTTCCCGAGATTGAAAATCTGGGTACAGGTGAACTCGGCACCAAGCCTAATCCGTCATAAAATAAACACGCCAATTCGGCACCAGCAATATCAGGTAATTTTAAAAACTACCCTTTGACGATAGGCCAACTCGACACCAACCACCCGCTTCAGGTAGTTCATGAATGATCCGGTAGTAGCACAGATACAAAACTTGTATACTATCCTCAAAGATATTTGGCGTTTATGACTTCACACCAATTTGACTCCCATTATAATTCAATAGGCCGTCACAACCGGATGTCTTAAACCCGCTCACCGATACCTACCTGAAAAGACCTTTTCGACGTGCCAGGGACGGTCGAGACGCGAAGGACCGGACTCAGAGTAATTTTGTTTGTTAAAATTTTCAAATTTCAAAATTTCCTTACACAACATGATTTATACTTTGAAGAAAATTACACAAAGACACAATTACTAGAAGTGTTACACACTCGAAAATTTGAGAAACAATATAAAATAGATGCTATGGCGCGAGATCGTGGATTTAGGGTGATTAGACTTCCGCCGTACCATTGTATATTTAACCCCATCGAACTAATCTGGTCGCAAATGAAAAATAATATAAGAAGGAATAATACGGCACCAAAATTTAGTAGTGCAACAATTGACATAATTAGGGAAGAAGCTTCCAAAATAACTGCCGAAATGTGGGCCAATTGTGTCCGACATTCCACAAAAGAAGAAGACCAGTACAGGGCACGGTTGATAACACCGTTAATTATTAATTTAGAAGAGTCGAGTGATGATGACAGTGACTATTTCGATCAATAAATAAGCAGTAGTAGTTAATAAGTAAATAGTTGTGCTGTAATAAAAAATGATTGAGTACAAAGTTACTTTGTTTTTACTTAAAATAAAAAACTCGAAAGGCGCAGTTGTCGGTAAATGCAAAGCTCAGTCCTGCCCTGTGCTTTTACCAGAAAAGGTCTTTTCAGGTAGGTATCGGTGAGCGGGTTTAAGACATCCGGTTGTGACGGCCTATTGAATTATAATGGGAGTCAAATTGGTGTTAAGTCATAAACGCCAAATATGTTTGAGGATAGTATAATTATTAATAATAAAATTAATTGTATATAAAATAAATCATTGTATCTAAGTATTTTGCATTTAACAAAAAGTATTTCATCTAGTTTTCAATTATTACCAGTACGCGGGAATTTGTTTTAACCGCTGCAGTCCCCCAGTTGAAGTAAGGTGTGTTTTACGGCGAGTAACGGGGACACCTTGATGTGGTCCACAAGGTCGTAGCCAGTGCGTCGCTAGGAGTGTTTACAGCTAGTAAAAAAACTACTTCTATATTACTATATTACTTCAAATAATAATACTTGATGCCCTTTTTAATTTTTCAACCAGAGGACCACAGATTTGTGATCTTGAAATGTTATATTATGTTGATATAGTCCAAAAGAAAAATATGTTTGTAATCAAACTATCGCCGCGACAGCACTGGTTCTAGCGTATGAGATACAATTCCGCCCGTTGATTATTACACAGGCCTGCAACAAAAAACGTGTCTTAACTTTGACAGGCTGTTGGTCTACTAGATTTATGGACATTGATAAGGGAAAAAAATTGCAAAAAATTCCAGCACGTTTAGATTCCTCCCCCCCCCCTCCACAAAAAAAAAGAATAAGTTCGATAAAATTAAAACAGAAACCTTACCTTGCTTTGGAGTGTAGAGAAATGACTTATTTGATAGAGTTTAGTACGTTTATTACAGGAAAAATACTAACAAAATTCTATCACGTCTAAAAAAAGAGATATTTAAATAACATAAAAATATGTTTTTTAACAGGAAATATTTGTACAATTCATTAAATTAAAACAATTTTTCCAAAATATATTTTATTACTTAAAATCATATATAGGTAAATGATTTTACCTACATATACATATAGCAGTGCTTTTTTTTTCAAAAAACTTTACAGAAACGAAACTAAACAATGGTATCACATTGTAGGATTTCAACAAAACAATGTTTATTAACAAGAATCCTCTAGTAATCGCCTAGATTTTTAAACGCTAATCACGAGAAAAAGCTATTTAAAACATTCTATCACCTACAAATTTAAAAAAATCAAAAAATTAAGGAAACAAAGTAAAAAATAAAATCGGTCCTGTTAACAGAAAAATCACCTCATCCAATAAATTTTTGTATGCAGATTATGAAAAAAATCTATTACAGTATCTCTATAATATTCTTATACTACTTAAAAATTTCAGTTTTAATCTTGTTTTACAAATAAACCTTACGTCAAATCGACAAACAGATGTCGTAGATGTAACCAACGCTAAAAAAACTACCCAAAACAGCCATCCGAACAAAAACAAATTTTCAAATGTTAAATTTGCAGACTTGTGTTATTTATTTGCGCATAACGATTTGATTAGAGGGAAGGTATCTCGGGGAGTGGGCGGATTAACCCTTGTTACCATACCTGCTACTGTAGTGCCGAGTTCACCGATCTTTATTTGGGGCTCTGTGCCGAGTTGGCCTATCCTAACTACCCGCAAAATTTACCTGCGATTAGTTGGTGCCCAGTTGGCGTCCGCCCGAAAATCTAGGGAGCAAGCTCCCTCGATTTCCAAACTCTCTCGCGCGACATGGTAAATCCTGTATACTGTATACTTCCCTTATAATGTAATATACTATTTGGATTGAGTCAGAATTTTGAAATATCTACACATCGCTTAGGTCAGGGTAATGTTGATAGTGATACTTTGTACAATTCAAAACTAATATATTTATTATTATCAAAAATTACTCAGTGGAGTAAATCTTCATTTGAAAATGCCCTCTCATCCGCAGTTTTGTATTGCCAGAGTTGTCCAAATAACCGTAGACGTAGACAAAACGGTCAGGATAATGAACTGACATTAGGATTAGAAATTTCTTTTTGCTAAATAGTAATAAAAGGATTTTGCTGAATATTAATAAATGAGGAGAAATCTAGTGTAAGCCATTCACATCTTCTGTATGCACTTAATTAAAAGTTTAACTGTGGAGATCGGGTCATAACAGATACAAAAAGTTTATTTCGATTCAAAGCTATTCAAGGTTAAATTATCTCTAAATAATTAGATCAAAGGTTTGAGTCAACGGTTTCTCAATTAATTAAGTTTATCTCATAACGATACGAGGGTATTTTGATAAATTATTAGCCTACCATAAAACAAAAAACAATTTGAAAATGAAAATATTTGTTAATGCGAAGTATTCCGTATTATTATTATTATTTATTATAGTGATACTGCAATTTTTGTAAACCTCTCAAAAGCGTTTCTTTTTGCTTAGCAAACAAATTTTATACAACTCTATTATTTCTCCGTTCAACGAAAATATCCTTTCAAACTTTTTTTCATTTGAGAAAACAAACAATAGTCGGAGGGAGTCAGGTTTGAAAAATAAGCAAACATTTCAAATTTCAAATCATGAACCGTTTTCATTGCAACGTCCGTTTTGTGTGCATTGTCCTGCAAAAATAGAACATCTTTGAACAATTTATGGCGTGTTTTTCCATAATTTTAACTCGCATTAGTTGTTATACTCGTAAAAGGGAAGTTGTATCCTCTAGTTACAAATTTACTTTTTTCCAAGTAATTAGGCATAATTACTTCACGAGAATCCAAAAAAAAACTGATTGTTGTTTCGTCTTTGGTTCATGGAAATACAGCCAAGTCTCATCCATGCCAATAACATGGTTAAAAAAATCAGGATCATCGTCAAAGTAGCACGACGCTTCCTCTTTTGCTGGCTTTGAATCAGTGTTCAATTAATTTTTTTTTAATACTTCAGATATTTATATGTTTATCCCAGTTAGATGATCTGACAAAATCATGTTATGAATTGCACCGATATTTTCGCGGTAGACACAGAAATCGATCTTCCAGGTTTCTAGTCATCTTCAACCGAAAATTTACCTTTTTTGCGCTTGTGTAGAAAAGGTAGAGATCGCCAAGTGTTTAAAACATATCTTCCTAAATCTCCTTACCCTTTTTAAAAACAGGTATTTAAAGATTGACCCATATTCGATTTTATTGACTTTCATAATTTCGGTAGGCATACCTTTTTTGAAATTTTATTACGAAGCAATGCGTCTAATTTTGGTGGTTAAATTTTACATTTCAACTAATTTGGTGTGGTTATAGCATATAGAATGGGGTTTTCTATGAGTCATACATACAGATCTATTGACAACCTACTAGTGTCTTCAGAAATTCAGCGTTAGGTGGCAGCGCCGCCTGGGTCTTCAAAGTATATTTGGAACAAGTTGTCGAATACTATAATTTGCGATTAGGCCCCTAAGAAAACCTTCTTTCATATTTTGGAAATTTATATTCGATTTATTTTGAGAATTGATAAATAAATATTTGTGAATAATTCATAAAAATATATATTTTTCTGTGAAATAATAAACTACTGAAGTGCTTTCATATCGGTATTTGGTAGAAAACATGATAAGAATGCACAGACTAAAAACAGAATGAGAAAACTTTTTGATAGTGTAGTATTCATTTTATTCAACTTACTTATAATCACAGCTCCAACTGAGAAGAATGGTGGTGCACAGCCCAGTTGCAGAAGAGTAGGAAATACTAGATTGCCTAGCATAGCTCCTGATCTTCCTAACATCATTGTTACAGATATAGTCATTGTTCTTAAAGTCGTTGGAAATAAATCAACAACTACAGCGAGTATTACGTTGATACTAATACTGCCAAGGGACACAAACAGAGAAGACAAGATAATAGTGGTTAATGAATTTTCCGCAAAATACATAGACATGGCACACAAACCAGCAATCACTCCCAAAACATCTACAAAATAAAATAATCAGATGGGTATGAATATGAAATGCATTATAACTTACTGAGAAGCCTTTTTTTACCTAAAGCGTTAATTAGTATACCGGCTAAAACATAGCCGATTATTGTAATAACAGCAACAATTATTGAATTTATATAAACGGAGGCATTGTTTAAGTTCTAAAAATGAAAATTGTCATTAGAATCGGAAATATTTTTTACTGTTTCATGTACATACCACTTCACATACTTGGCTTTTATTTGATGGCCGAATTTGGTCTAACATTGTACACAAACTTGCTGTTGTACCGTTATTGTAAAACTGGTAGTCGTTGATGGCTTGAAAAATTTGCGGTAACCAAAGGCGAAGTGTGTTCAAGCTGAAATCATAGATGTAGTTTTTTTAAGTTTATTACAAGTCACATACCTCATCATTATTAACATTTGCATGAAACATACTAAGAGAATTTTCGGAAGGTGTGGTGGAAAGAATAGGGGTTTTATTTGTTGCCAACCTTCTTTTATGGCTTGCATTTTTGTCCTGTTGGCCGTGACTTTACCCCCATATTTCATATCAGTGTTGGATTTTGTTTCTTCAATTAGTTGTTTTATCTGAAATATTTCTTGCAGAATAATTTAGGTAGATACGGAAAAACATATTTTATAAAAAAAAATATCATTTTGTTAAAATAAGAACGCCAATGACATTTATAGAAAAATCTTGTCGAATAGTGCAGCTGATTATTGTTTAATGTTATATTTATTATTGTAATCAGAAAAATATTTCAACTTTGATCATCTTAATTAAAATATTCATTTAAAATGAGTGGCTATAATAAGTGTTCAGTCGTATAGTCCCTGCTTCTTTTCCTTTTTTTCCATCTCCTCATTATTTCTGTCTCATCTGTTAGTATTTTACCACTTTTGTTTTGATAGGTAGACTTTGTTCAGTTTTTCCATTTCTCATCGTTTTTATGATCTTATAGCGTTATATTACATTTTCAATTCACCATCTAAAGTCTGTCCATGTTTTTTTTTGCTTCTGTTACTAAGTCTTACGATTTTTCTTTTGTATTCATTGTACTTGTGGATTTGTTTTAGAGTTCAGTTATCGCTGCCATTTTCTTCTTAATTTTGATCTGTTTTTAGATATATTCTTTCCAACACGTTGTTTGTTGCTTTTGGTTATTTGTTTTGCAGATTCTACATACCTGTTTCCCTGTTTCCAACATAATTTCTTTTGTAGTGTCCATGTTTCTTCTACATCTTTACATTGGTTTATATTGACTTTTGTTTCTAATACTTTTTCCAGTTTTGTAGTGAATTTAGAGGTTTTCTTTACTCTTTCTTGATTTTGGATAGTGGCCACTGTCTATCTCTCCTCCTCTAACTTTTGCATTGTGAATACTTTTCCTATTCTGCGTTTCTACGAGTACATAGTCGATAATAAATTTTTCTTGACGTGGATGTTGTCGTGTATATTTGTGTTCGTAGGAAGTGTTTGCAATGTATAATTAATTGTTCGTTAGACAGAAATCCAGCATTTTAGTACCATTCAGATTTCTTTTATCTTCTCCATGTTTACCTACTACCATTTTGTATTTTACATATTTCTTGCCAACTCTACTATTAAAATCGTCTACGTATAGTTTTCCTTTGGCTGTCTCGGTTTCTCTTGTTAGCTTTTTCTAAAATCTATTTATTCCTAAACGTGAAATCGGAAAATTTTTCTACAAAGAAAGATTGAAAGAAGGAGGTGTTGTGAGCCCAATTTGTTTATAGTAGGTATACATGGAGGCGATAACAAAATGTAATGAAGAATTAAAAAAAATCTTTGGAAATTGGAACCTATAAAGAGTTGAAACAAGGGGAAGGTGTCTTTCGACAGCATATTGTCATGACTGCTAAAAGTAGGAAGGATTTAATGAAAAATATGGAAATATGGCATGGGGTGTTGCAGGAATATGCAATGAGGATAAACATAAAAAACGAAAGTAATAGCCGTTACTAATGATTATCAAGAACTAGACATTCAGTTTGATGAAGAAAACATACAACAAAGATAACAATATCAATATCTAGGAGTTGCAGTAGAAAACAAAAGAAGGTAAGAAGTAGAAATTAATGAAAGAATTGAAAATGCATCTAAATTATTACTACTTATTACACCGAGCATTTTCAGCAAAAGGAAATATCAAAAAAGTCTAAAAGTAACTTTTTAAAGGTAATATCTATTTAGGCATTGACCTAAACACTAAACTACTACTAACTAAGAGAGAAAAATTAAAACCCATGCATCTGTTAACCTCGACCTTAATTTTTATTCTTGACAAAGTCTGATTAATAGCTGCAGACATATATTTTCCTTTTAGTATTTTTCAAACATCATATTATGTTTTTCTATTCAATGTATATCTTATAAACTAACGAAAATATAAGTATACATAATTTAACTTACCGGAAATGTCTCGGGTTCATTCCCCGTATTAAAACAATAAACTTTCTTAAAAACTTCTAATGCCTTATCATTCCTACCCGTTGTCATTAAGAACTTTGGACTTTCAGGCATAAAAATAAATGCAATTGCACTGATAAGTGCTGGGATGGCACATATACATAAATATAAATTCCAGGAATGAAATTCTGTAATGCATAAAGTTAATTTCCGTCTTTGGTAGTATTTTTTAGAAATTTACCTACACTATCATCAAAAGCTTTGTAATTAAGATTTAACGGCAATATTCCCCATGCTAAAAGAGGTAGAATTACGTTTCCTGCACTAAAAACAATTCCTAACATCATTTGTATTCTGGCTCTATGTTTAGCGCAGTGAAATTCTGACAAATATGTAGTTAGTGCAGCGAATGGTCCATTGATGCTAAAATTAAACTATCGTGTAGTTAACTGATAAGAACTCGGAGATAACACCTCACATAAAACCTCCCAAGAATTTGGATATTATTAATAGTGTAATGTTTTGAGCTGATGCACTCATAATAACAAACACTCCGTCGAGAAACAGTCCAATTGCCAGTAGTCTTTTCCGACCTAGTGTGTCACACAAAAATCCCCACACGAAAGCACTCGATATCATCCCTACGAATATAATTTCCAGTTTGTTTCAACAGGAATATTGTTACTTACCGATATAAGTAATGGCGTTTAAAAACCCTTTATTCGCTAATGTTAAACTTAAGTCGCACTGTGCTGCTGGAAAAACGTAGGACATCGTAGTCGTTTCGAAGATAGAACTCCATCCCGTTGGAACTGATATTAAGATAAGGATGATATTAAATTTTCCAAAACCTGTGGCCGTAATTGCCGTTTCAAAATCAGCTGCTTTATTCGCTGCAATATGAATGTAAGGTTTTAGAGTGACGTTTTCAGTTAAAACATTCATATTAATAAAGTTAGTATGTGGGTAACTAAACTGTTCGACTGTTTAAATTAATATTAATTAAACCGTTTGTTGAGAATCACATGCTTTTTAATTAATTGATTCGGTTCGAAAATAATACACGATAACTTGAAAGTAAAAGTTCACTACCCTTTATTATCTGACATACATTAATTAACAAAATTACGGAATCTTCATAATATCAGTCAAGGGTAAAATTTTACTTACGTTCATTTAATTCTCTGTGTTTTTCCACGTCTTCTGTTGTCTTTGACAAAGTAAAAATATTGTTTTCCACATCTTCTTTTGAAGAGTTTTTCATTTTAGCTGAATTGCACTTCGCAGTTAATAAATGCGTCCTTTATTTACTACTGTAAATTTCTTCACTATGTTTGAACAAGATTTAATAACTTATCTAAGATCTTCCGCGTGTGACAAGCGTGTGGCAGTGGTTGACTGGTGACGCACTGTTACGTCTCTTCAGCTAGTCTGCCAAAATTCTATTTAGAACGAACACGTGCTCTTTAAAACTATGGTTTCATGGTCGATTATTATGAAAATGATTGCAACAATTCTTACTTCTTATGTATAAAATTTTAACTGTGATAAGGAGCATGAATATCAGAAATGTTATCATATTTACATTTAAATATCACTTGTCTACTGACTGTCCAATGCGTAATTGTTTCGCAAAATGATGTAACTTTTAAGGGAATTATCTTCAGTTTTAAAAATGTACCAAATTTTGTCTACGTAATGGATGATGTAGATTATTCTTGTTTGTGTTTACACCACGTCATAAAAATTATGTAAGCGAAATTAATGTTTTAAACTTGTTAAATATTATATATATAGTATGTTATCAGTTATCAAGAAACTAAATATGTTTGTTCCTTAATATACTTTACGATAAATTGAAATAAATAACATCATTATTTGTCGAGCACTATCTAAAGGAAGTTATATAATAGGATACTTTTGGACAAATTTTAATGTCACTCTTTTAGCATTACACAGTTTATAGTATACGAAACTGCAGGTTCCTTGTTTCCATGTACGTTTGTACCTGTACTTCAACATTTCGTGAAAATAATAAAACACTGTCAAAATTGTTCTGCTTGTTCCTTATAAAAGACTGATCAAACTTAAAAAATATAAATATAAATTGAAATGCGTAGTGTGCAAATTTTTCGTCCACCTTTGCTTTTATACACATGAATATTCTACCATTAAATTTTAGAATTTATCAGAAAAATTTTGGTTAATTACAAGCATTGTCCACGATTACAAGATATTAATAAAACTTTATGTAAGTCTCCTCTTCAGAAAATTAATAACGTCATAAATGTGAGGAGGAATGCTATGCTTTAGTAATATGCTTAGAGATTTTAAAGCTGCTTGTACAATAAAAAATAAATGTTTAATTTCTTGATTGTGTTAGAAACAAAAATTCTAGCAAGACAGCTTAAACCTTATTTCCATCGGACAATTCTGTCCATAGTGGACATAGATACAATAATAATACATTACTTTAACTTAATAATAAATTTACTAAATACTAAAAACTAAAAACCAACAAAATAAAAATAAGTAATAAGAAACAACAATAAAAAAATAATAATTCATAAGCAACAGAATAAAAAGTTGAAAATCCTTGCATTTAATCCTTATTTGACATTAATTTTTTGCGCATGGCCTTTGTTTGAAACTTATCATGAAATATATCAATGTCCTGATTGCAAACACTATTTATAATCTAAAGCACTTAATTAGAGTAGAGTGATGATACGTTCGAGGAATTACAAAATAAAAAAATAAAATTTCTGCGGATGAAAATAGGAATAACAATCTTTATTTCACTCAGCAAATTATAACTACATATTACACCACACAGAAGCTTTTGAAGGAATGACAAAAGAAACATATTCCGTCTAGATAACAGGCTGTCCTCATTAACAATGCGAAGTAAATCAGCATGATCATGATGCCTTATAAGATAGTAACCAAAGGTCTTGAAATACATAAATTTACAAAATTTTCTATTAACCAATTCAAGAGCATCTATATAAATTTGATGATGTGTCCAGATAATACAACAATACCAAAACTTTGAACGCACAAGTGTATAAAAAAGAATTCTAATGCATGATAAGTTATCAAATTCTCTGGAAATTCTAAAAATAAAACCCAAAGTTTTCAACGTGGTACTTATCAATTGCAATATTTGACGTTCAGAAGTTAATTCATTGTCAATGATAATACCTAAGTCTGACAATTGATCAACCTGGATTAATACCCTAACATTTACATATATTATAATAAAAATAAATATCATTTTTCCTCCTAGAAAATTTTAGAACCCTACACTTATCTTTGTTAACCACCAAACAGTTTCTTTTACACTAGTAAATGAAATTATCTAAGTCCTGTTGCAGTTCAAGACATTCATCATATGAATTAATGACTTTAGCAATTTTTTTATCATCAGCATACGGATATGCGTGAGAACTAAGGTAATCTAACACATCATTAATGAACAAAATGAACAATAGCGGTCCTAAATTCGAACCCTGTGCAACACCTGGATGAGAACAAAACTCCCTGAGACAAAACCTTTATATTCTGCATATTGCACTCTCTTTGTTATAACAGACTGCAACAAAGAAACTAATTCGTCACATAAGCCAAAATGTCTAAGTTTTTTTTAATAGAATGCAGCGGTGAACCTTATCAAATGTCTTCGACCTGTATATATAACATCAACTTCATTACCTTTATCTAATTCTTGGGAAATAAAAATAGTAAATTACTCTGCTAAACTCAACATTGATCTTTAGATCATCATTCAAAATTGTCGAAATTGTGTCTCGATCCTGTTGAATTCTGGAACATTGTAAACAAGAACATTTTTGGATCTAATAATTCTATCCTGAACTTCATTAGATATAATATCCACATCAACATCAGTGTTGTAAGTTTCCTTAACATTAGAACTGATTAACTGATCAATTAGCATTTGCATATTTTTAATCATTTCAGTTACCTTCGGTAGAAGGGACATCAAGTCGTCACTCTTTTTGCATGAAAAACGCATTTTCCGATTTCTTAGATCTAGGGCTGCTACTTCCGTCGCTGATAATATTTTTGGTTTTACAATTTATACATGTACCTATTATATTTCTTTACGTAGTAAAGTTCTTTTCACAGTGTTTATAAGATAAATGCAAATAACTAAAAAGCACCTTTATTAGGATGATTAATTAAACATACGACGTTATTATGTCTCCGACTCAAAGTACCCAAAAATCCACCAATTCTAAAACTAACTCGGCACAATACACTAAAAAGCAGGAGAGTTCTGCAAAACACAACCGCACGGATCGCTTACTCACTACCTTTTATATTTACATATCAAAAGTGATTATTTATTTTATCTTCCGCAGTAAATTGATGACATCACCTCAAACAAGTTTCCGCGGAAAAATACATTCATGAGTAAGATACTTCTTATATTATTTACAGCCTCTAAGTTTTCAAAAATAGTACTGGAAATTGTAGTTGGCAGACCTAACTTTTAAAGCCGCCCATAGGATTACTGTAAAAGTATGAACTTCTGTCAAATATTGTTTATTACCGTTCTATTTATGGATAAATACGTGCACAGGAGCGTACGGAAGATGAGTCAAGCGAAACGGTACACTGAAAATCGGACCAGACCAGGTAGAAAAGACCTTTGGAAGAATTATTTTATTAATGTTTATTAAGTATCAATTTACTTATGCAACTAATGCTGTTTTGGTAATTTTTGGAATTTTGTGAAAATAGTGGAAAGTAAAAAGAAACTCTTATAGTACTTACAAGTATGTTTATTAACAGGCAAAAGTTTCATCATCAGTTTCACTGTCCTCATCATTTATATGAATAATTATTTCTGGGAAAGGTTTGTTGACTAATTTAAGAAACTGTCTTCAACATCAATAATAGGTCTGATGCAGTTATTCCAAAGTATGGAGACAATTTTCTCGGTTTTTTTGTGAATTGTTTCCACAATCGACGAACTTAATGAAGGTGTAATGTTAGACTTATGTACCCAGTGTTTCAATTGACTCCAAACTAGTTCAATGGGATTTAGCAAGCAATGATACGGAATAAGTCGCACTGAACAAGACCAGATATCAAACGAAACAACATTAAGGGTCAAGTGACATTTACTGTGCTGTTTATATGTAGGTATACGCCGGTAAATAATAAAATAATGGTATTCCGAAAGTGCTTCGTGCAGGTGTTTATCCATAAATAGAAGGGTAATAAACAATATTTAACAGAAGTTCATACTTATAGTAATTCTATGGACGGCTTTAAAAGTTGGCTCTGCCAACTACAGTTTCCAGTACTATACAATATGGTGATTTTATAATTAGTGTTTTATGCTCACATCTTAAAATTAATATGTTTGTTCTTTTTCAAAACTTGACTTCAGTTGAAAAATATTAATTTGTAGACTTTATCCCAAGAACAAATTCTTAAATATCACATCAGTAGGGATTTAATATTCAATTTTTGTTTTTACTGTTGGCAGTCGATCACTTTTTTCGTATTGTATCGTATCAATTTTTTGTAAAGAATTAATATTGCAATTTATTTGTACTGAATTTCCCTCTCCTCAGTAGAGCAGAATATACTGCACTTGCGTCTCACTAAGGTTATGGAGGTTAGGCACAAGAAATTTTACATTTTAGAAATTTTTTGTTTTCCGTGATTTACAGTAACATTTTGTGAATTTAGTGTTAAATGTTTGTAGTAACACTGTACTTCATCACAAGTTTGCCGTTTCTAAAAAAAAAATTGCTGCCTGCAAAAAAATCTGCTAAAATTTGGGACATAACTATGAAAAAATATTGCAGTATTGTTAAATATACTGGGTGTTAAAATATGATTCCGAAAATATGTCCTTATTAAAAATCGTGCAGGTATAGAGAAATCTTTAAAGTTAAGTTAAAAGTTTTGTGGAGTTTATAACATTTGGAATTTCCAAAAAAAATTATTTTTCCATTTCTCTAAAATTTCTTTGTCTTACTGATGAAGATCACTAGTAAAATGGTAATGGTTATTTGATACGACGAAATAATTTCATCCGTTTCAAATTTCAGAAAAAATGAAGAAAAACTTATAATCAGGCTTGGGACACAGTAAACTAACAAAATTTAGTAGAATTTTATTTACAGTGCATTACAATACTTCAGTCTTCACCGTCATGTACATAATTTGAATTTTATTCCAATGCTTTTAGATCTGTGTTTGGTAACAACATTGATAAAAAGCCACAACCTAATATTACACCACCAATTGAAAAAAATGGAGGAGCGCAGCCGCTTCGAAGAAGAAACGGAAACACAATATTTCCTATCATTGCTCCACTTCTAGCCAACATCATTGCAAGGGATACCGTCATTGTCCTAAAATTACACATGTTAGGCAATGTTTAAAAAAAGATATATTTTATCTGTACCTTAGGGTTGTGGGAAATAAATCAATAATAACTGTTAAAACAACATTTGTTGCTACACTTGTGGACGCTACAAACAAGGAAGCAAATGTAACTGCAAATGCTGTATTTGTTGAGAAATATATCAAAAAGGCACAAAATCCAGAAATAGTCGCACAAACACCTGAAAGAGAGTTTAAATAGTAGGTAAGTAATAGGTTCACGCAAAAATTTTGTGTCGCGTTGCCGGCAAGCCTCTGCTTGTGAATTTAACGCACTTTAATAGTGAATTGATTTTATTAAAAATGTAAATGTAGTAAGTATAAGATTCAAAAGCAGCACTAACAGCAGTACGATCATACTTACTTAAGAGCTTCTTTTTTCCTAAAATATTGATAAGGTATCCAGCAAAAAAATAACTACACATTGAAACTGATGCCACAATGATGGAGTTGATGTAGACCGGAGAATTATCGAGATTCTGTAAAAGAAATATTTATTTAAGAAAAATATTGTACTTGGGTTATATGATTTGTAATAATAATAAGTATATGTAGTAAAATGCGTTAAATGTAAAGAGTATAAATACCACAACGCATCCATCCGATGTTGGTGAAGGCTGCAATATTTCCAACATTCGACACAGGTCTGCAGTAGATCCATTGTTAAAATGTTGATAGTCAGTTATAGCTTGAAAAATTTGGGGTAACCAGAGACGCAAGGAATTCAAACTAAATAAGTGATTATAAATCAATTTTAAAACATTAACACAACAACTTACCTCATAGTAAACAAAGTTTGAATTATACACACTAATATAACATGCTTCAGGTAAGGTGGATAAAATATAGGTTTCATTTGCTGCCACCCTTCTTTAAGGGCTTGAATTTTACTCCGATTGGCTGTTACTACACCTCCATGTTGATCAGGTTTATTCTTTTTGAGTTCTATTTCGTCAATAAGTTTTTTAACCTAAATTTGTTGTTTTACAGTCGCAAGTCGTGTTTGTGGGAAAGAGCAATTCAGTTAAAAAACTAACATTAAATTTAATAATTAGTAGAAACTGCACTAAAACGTCTTGATATATAACATAAATTGAAAAGCTTTCTCATTTTGTTAAGAAGGGCGATTAAAAGGGGTTCATATTTTCAACTATTTCATCAGTGTAGTTATAAAATAGTATGACTTAAGACAAGTAATTTAAAATAACTGCTCTTTTTTTAAATGGGTGCAAAGAAATATGAAATATAACTAAATGAGTTACCGGATAACTTTCAGGAGGGTTTCCTGTATTCATACTGTAGACATTTTGAAACACTTTCAGTGCTTTTTCATTTTGTCCTATTGTCATTAAAAATTTTGGACTTTCTGGCATAAATATAAAGATTATGGTACTAAGGATAGACGGTACTCCACAGAATAAAAGATATATGTTCCACGAATGAAGTTCTATAAACCAAGATTTTTATTTTGTTAAGGACATTCATTACTGAATCAAGGGGTTGAACTTACCAAACAAATTATTAGAAGTCGTCAAATTTTGAGGTAAAATAGCCCAGGCCAAAAGTGGTAGAATTACAGTACCAAAGTTAAAAATCGCTCCAAGGACCAACTGCATTCTTGCGCGATTTTTAGCACATTGGAATTCAGATATATATGAGGTAAGTGCGGCAAACGGACCATTTATTCTGTAGGAACGACATTACATTTTAAGGATTAAATAAATTTTAGTACTTACATGAAACCTCCTAAAAATTTTGAAACTATTAGCCACGTTTTTGTTTGGGAAAAACCGCTTAATACTACAAATGTGGCGTCCAAGAAAAATCCAATCGTTAAGAGTTTTTTTCTGCCCAAGGTATCAAAGAGAAATCCCCATATTAATGCACTCGAAATCATCCCTTTTGTAAGTTGAAGTTTTCATGTTATGCGTAAATATTCATTAAAATTTTACCTAAATATGTAGCTGCATTTAGTAATCCCTTGTCGTCTAAACTTAGATCAAGGTCACACTGAGCTGCTGGAAATACATACGACATCGTTGTTGTTTCAAAAATAGAGGACCACCCAGCTGGAATGGCAATTAATATGAGCAAAAAATTAAATTTTCCAAAACCAGTTGTTGAGATTGCTGTTTCAAAATCAGCTGGACCTAAGTTCAAAATGCCATATAATAATAATTGCAATGTGAAAAGAAGCTGTACTTACCGGATGATAGGTCTTGTTCATTTTTTCCACTTTCGGTTACATGAAAAATATTTTTTGAAATTTTGGTAATGGAATTTTTTTTAGTCATTTTTATTACTGTTTAGACTTTACATTTGACTAATGACACTAAGAGACAAAACCTGAATATATTTATTGAAATGTGTGCTTATCTCTGTATTCTTAGTGAAATGCAAAGTTAGAACAATACCACTTTTCAATGATAATCTTTTGAGTTCGTCAACATAAAAATCTTAAAGTACACAACATGATTGAAATTTCTGACAGAAAATACCTTAATAGAACTATCGTATATTGTAAAAAATGGTCCAACTTGACCCAAATTTTAGGTTTCTTTTTCATTTTAGCAAGGACAAGAAAGAAAATAAATATCAAAATTGGTCGAAAGATATTTAGGCAGAACAGACTGAAATACAATAAAACAAATCCAGCTTTTTCGAAAAATTATAAAATTTGATTTTGCGAATTTTATTTTTTTATGAGAACCCTTGACCCAAATTTTAGGTTTCTTTTTCATTTTAGCAAGGACAAGAAAGAAAATAAATATCAAAATTGGTCGAAAGATATTTAGGCAGAACAGACTGAAATACAATAAAACAAATCCAGCTTTTTCGAAAAATTATAAAATTTGATTTTGTGAATTTTATTTTTTTATGAGAACCCTTATAAATTAAAGTGAAGATATGTATGTAACGTTAAAGTAAATGTAAACAAGCGTGCTGGGCGTACGTACCAAATGAGTTTTCCCTTAAAAATGTTTGTGATGACGTCATCAACATTTTTGCAAAGGCACGTATATCACTTTAGATAGGTAGAGTGTAATACTAATGATAACAGTATTGTATTTTCGGGAAACTTGAGTGAGCCGTTCCCGATTTTATCAATAAAATCAATAGACTCATTCATTAATTTTGATGAGCCACCCTGTATAAGAAATTTAAAAACTTTTAATGCAATGATAAATCATCATATTTTGGACATTTGAGACAGGATTTATTGGTCAAAAATTTGAGTTAACGTCATCAATTTTTTGAGATGGGATAAACGAATTTCAAACTTAAATTGCAAAATATTGTTATTCAGTTATGAATTTTTTCCAAAAATTCTGGAAGTCTAGAGTGAAAACGGCCGACACGGATTCACACACCACAAGTGCACGAGTATCTTATTTTTGAAAATTGAAAAACTTGTTATTCTAAATTTTGAAAATGACGACATCTCATTGGTGGTGGTGATGATTAGCCAAATTTTAGTTAGCATTTAACCATCTACATAATATTCCTAGTATACATACAAACAATCGGTCCAGTAGTTTCGGAGATTACTTGTCTAACAAAAATGGATACAGACACCAGACAAACAGACAGACGGAAACGGGAAACGACTTTTTTCGTACTCTGGAGGTCATGAAACGTCGAGAGAATACAAATGGTCATTCGTCCAATGGACTCGATTACTAGCTTACGCTCAGGAAGTAAAAAATTGGTCCAACGTTACTTCGACAGAACTTCTCTCGCCCCTCAAGTACAATCTAAAAAATTCCGCTTCTTTGAAAAATTATAGAAAATTTGTGTTTTCTGGTAACCTTTATGTAGTAAAAACCAGTGGTGTAAATGATACCTCGAAACCCCTGCGCTGCGGATGTGCAAATTCCAAGGAGGTGCCTCCCGCAGATATACAGACAATATGAAATATATTTGAAGCAAATAACCAACGGAAAAGAGTAGTATTATCAGTGTACATGATTCGATTGTTTATGTTTATACCTCGAAAGAATGTCACGTAGAAATTTGTTTAATTTGAATGAATTGTTTCCTCAAAACAGAAGACTAAAATTATTAATTAAGCTACAATGGAACAAAATGTTTTGAATATGATTGTTATTATTCTTATTAGATCATAATTAAATAAAAACATGGGTATGCTCAAATTTTCTAGAAAATGAGCTTCTTAATTTGATCAATAAAACATTGGTCGAAGGCTACAAGTATAATCCAACAAATTCAGCTCTTAAAAAAAATTATAAAATTTGGTTTTACGATTTTCGTTTTGTGATAACCGCTCTAAAGTAACAACCAGACGCATAAATAATACCCCTTATCCTTCAGCACTAGGTAATAGCAATTTGAAGCTCAAGTGTTTATGTTTATACATTGAAAGAATGTCACGTAGAAATTAGTTTGATTTGAATGAGTTTATCTTCTCAAAATAGAGGACAAAATTATTAATTAAACCACAATCGAACAAAATGTTCTTAACATTGTAATTCTTATTTTGTCATTATTATATAAAGACGTGCCTATTCTTCACATTTTCCAGAAAATGGGGTGGCTCATTCTTAATTTGACCAATAAAAAATTTGTAATAAATGACGTCATTAACATGGATAATTCTAGTCACAGCACAAAAGGAAAATAGTCACAGCTTTATACCAATGTAAAAAAAAATGAAAGGGCCAAGTTTAGCATCGAACCCACAATCGTATTACCGCAGGTCGCCGTTTTGTCCGATACACCCACTGCGCCGTGGAGACGTACAAACCGTGTGGAGCATAAAACGTTATTATACCTTGCAAATATTTTTGCGAAAATTTGATCGTTTAGCGAAAAAACTGAAAGCGGATTCGTACATTACACGTATATGAGTATATTTTTGTGTAACATTCAAATTATTTTAAAATACCATTCATTAAAATGACGTCATCCAATTGTTGGTGGGGATGATTAGCCAAATTTTGGTTAGCATTTAACCATCTACATAGAATGATAATATAATTAATATACATAGAAAATTTGACAACACTCAGTCCAGCCGTTTCGGAGATTACGTGTCTAATAAAAATGGATACAAACACTAGACAGACAGACGGAAACAGGAGCCTGCTTTTTTCGTACTGTAGGGGTTATGAAACCTCGAGAAAACATAAAAATGGCCATTCGTCCGATAGAGTCGATTACTATACTTAAAGTTATTTAGGTAGACCTTCCTTCGCTCCTGAAGTACAATCGAAAAAATTCAGTTCCATAGACGAATTATAAAATTAAAAATTAAAATAAAAAAATGTGTGGATCGTTACATTTGAGGTATGCATAATTTCATGTGAGTTTTTTTTTTTGATAAAATTTTGTGATGATATCATCAACTTTTTAATAGGGATAAATATATCATATTTTATACTAAAAGACCAATTTGAAGTTGATTTCACATGGCAGTTGGAAACGGGAAATCTAGATTTTCATACTCTAAGGGTTATGAAACGTCAAGAAAACGTGAAATAAGCCATTCGCCCAATGAATCCTATTACAGTACTTCTCTAACTTACAATCGGAAAGTAAAAAAGGCAAGAAGGAGAGCCAGGGCAAGGATCAAAACGAGAACAATAATAAAGTTAATGATAGAGGTTACATAATATTATTATTACATCAATTGTAAATAATTTTTTGATTATTCCTGTAGATGATATTACTTTATTTGTTTAGATAATTCAGATTATTTATGCCAGTGTTGACTACACAAACGATCGAGATGACACTTCATTCGAAATGATATTGAGTAGGTACCATTGCGCAAATAACTGGTAAAGTTTAGTTAAATCAGTATTTTGCAAACTTATTAAATTATAACAAATCCAACATTTTATTATCAGAAAACTTGGGAGAAAATTAACAATTTTATGACATTAGAGCTTGTCGACGCTTCCAAAATATCACCGGATGAAATCATAAAACCGTGTTCCAAAAACACGCACAATTTTACGTTGTACTCTCCCTTATGTATTTCTTGCTTGGTATCCTTGGAATTTTTGTCGCTGATTCAATTTTGGTATGACAAATGTTGGTTCGTGCAAGATATGATTTTTAAATCAACTCTTTCATGTCAGAATTGGGCAGCAATAAGGAGACGAAAGATGAAACTGAAAATTCAAGTATACTATTTAAGATCGTATTTAACATTAAATTACCTATTGCGAGAGATCCAATTGTAAAGAAAGGTGGTGCACAACCGGCTTGAATAAGTAGTGGAAATACTAAATTTCCAATCATAGACCCTATTCTACCACACATTAAAGCTGTAGCAAGTGACATAGTTCTGAAATGTGAATGATTTTTGAATTAGTTAAAATTTTGATCCATAAGTTACTACCTCAATGTTGTTGGGAATAACGCAATATTTACAATCACTACGACGTTGGCAGCAGATGTAGATAAACCCGTAAATAGTGCTGCAAAAGAAACAGCAAATGTTGTGTTAACAGAAAAATAAAGAATAAAAAGACATCCTCCAGCAAATACGCCTAGCACAACTGCAAAATATGGTATTAATGCAACGTTCTCAATTTTAAATGCAAAGTGTACATAATAAGGTTTTCTTGTTTATACTATTGATTAAACAAGCAGTAAGAATTTCGCATAACATAACGGTAATATTGACTATCATCGAATTGAGATAAACCGAAGCGTTGTCCACGTTCTGAAAAATGTCAAGGTATTAGTCAATTGTGTAGCAGATACTTTTCTAGTCAATACTAACAAATTCGCAATCTGTTTGGTTCGAAGGTCGAATTAGTTCTAAACTTTTGCAGAGATCAACGGATGAGACGTCATAGTAATACTGATAATCATTTAGAGCTTGAAAAATTTGTGGCAGCCATAGCCGAAAAGTATTTACGCTGTAAAAGTGATTTGTCAACGGTTAAATATTAATTACTATGTGATTCTTACAACCTCATTGTAAATAGTGCTTGTATCGAACAGATTAAAAGCAAAAGTAATAAAAACGGTGGAAAAAACAAAGGTCTTATTTGTTGCCACCCTTCCCTGAGAGCTTCAATCTGACTTCGTTTAGCTGTAACTTGTCCACCGTGTTGATTGGGACTGGTTTTCTTCAGCTCTGTTTCATTAACAAGTTGCTTGATCTGAAAAAATATGTGTGACAAAACTGCAAACATTTTAAAAACTACATAACTTACAGGAAAAGTTTCAGGTGGTTGTCTTTTATTAATCGAGTACATTTTTTGAAACAGTGCCAAAGCTTTTTCGTTTTCTCCTACCGTCATTAGAAATTTTGGACTTTCAGGCATAAATGCAAAAGCAATTGCGCTTATGATAGGTGGAAGGCAACATATCAGAAGTAAAATGTTCCATGAATAAAATCCTATTAGAGTAAAATTTTACTAGTTTCTAACTTTTTAAATCATGGTTTGATATTAAAACTAAACTTTATAAATTTTATGTGAATGCAAATGCCGTGTACTTGCATAGTTGTTTGGCAAAAATTTTTGGCAAAGCCGTTTTTTATTTTCCTAATAACGATGTTCGAAATATTTTTTCTTTTATTTGTTTTCTTATATTCTATCGATATCTCTGCTGACAATGGTTTTGTGTACCAAATTTATTTTTTTAAAACCCTATAATGCATGAATAATATTTTTAGTATCCTTGGTAAAAAAGGGAAAATTTCAAATTTTGGTATGATTACAATTTTATGAGCGCTGTAGTTTCAGCAATGACAGCTATATTTAATATTATGGGTAAGAAAAACTTACTAAGGCTGTCGTTGAAAATTGAAAAATGTATATTATTCGATAAAATGCCCCACGATAACCAAGGAAATGCAATACCACCCCAACAAAAAACTATTGCAATGAATAACTGCATTCGTCCTCTGTTTTTAGCACTATGAAATTCAGAAACGTACGTTGAAAGAGCTGAGTACGGTCCATTAATTCTTAAAATATTATAAAAGAAATTATTGGCTTCGGTTATTTTGCTTTGCGTTACTTACATAAACCCTCCAAAGAATTTGGCCGTGATTAGCATTGCCTTGGTTTGGGAAAATGCGCTCACTAAAACACAGAGAAAATCCAGGAAGTAACCAATCATTAATAGTTTCCTTCGACCTAGGGTGTCGAACAAGAACCCCCATATTACACCACTTGAAATCATTCCTAAAATTTATTAAAAAATGACAGAATCAGTCATACATACTGTAAGAACATTCTTTGATATACATGCTTTGTTGATGGTGCTCTTGACCATTTCTCGTACTATTATAGGTTTTAATATCTTAGGATAAATATTTTTTAAAATGATGTTTATTGAAAAGTGCCGACTTTGATGTAACGGGTGTTTAATTGAAAAAGTCATCAAGTAGAAAATGTAGTGAAAATTGCATGTGTTTTATTAATCCATACTATTGTGTGCAGATTTTCACGAGAAGCTCCGCGCCTAAAAAATTTAAGACGCAACCAGAGATACAATTTCAAAACCATCTTTGATATTCCATACCATTGAAGAACAGCAATTATAGCAAGTATGATATAATAATAAAAATAAATAGATATATTACTATTAGACTTTATGCAAAATGTATTCAAACTATGAAAAAACTTATATGATTTTGATATATGGTGAGAAGAGTAAAATATAGTTACTACTTCGCGTTTGTGTACAGTTTGTGTGGTTTGTGTTTGTGTTTCTATATAGGAAACATCCTGACGAGCTCTTGTTTTGAATTTTTTGTTTTTGTTTTAACCTAAAGTTGCTTATTGCCAAATTATCAAACTATGTATTACTAAAAAAAAAAGAATGATAGTAAATGTATTAAAGACTGGTTGCAATCGTATTGTTCGTTATGTTTAGCATTTTTTAGCCGATGGGCTTTACATGAATAACTATGTATAATAGACATTTGACCGAGTTGTTAAAAAGCATTAATTTTATTAAACGAAAAAGTGAGGTTCGGTAGTTTATTGTACATACCTATATGTGCTTCACAATGTTTACAAAAAATCAAGGTAAACTTGATGAATTTTTTTTAATCGATTACACAGGCCTGCGATGGTTTTCCCCCAACAAAATCTAGTAGTAATTTCGGTAGGTCTTAGATACTCATGTATAAAAAAAAATTGCAAAAATTTCTATCACGTACAGTTTCTGCAAAAAATATTTTTTTCGGTTTTGTTCTTAGTACTATAAAAATTAACTTCTATATTTTGTGGTAATAATATGTATGGATAATGGTCTTGATATTTCATTTCGTGTTCAGCTTAGTAAGAGTTATTTGTGTCAACTATGCGCTTACTACCCTGAATTTAAAGAAAAATTACTAATGTCTTCTCGGAAATGGGTTAATTCTTCAGATAAGTTTGCTGACACCAATGATTTGGATGGAGCCACAAAATCATACAGACGATTGTTACTTTTGCTGTTCAAATATAAAATGATATAATGCGAAAAATGTAACAGCAATAACATATCCTATCGTGAATACAAGAGAAAACGCTTAAATCAGAGCTTTGAAGAAAGAAAAAAAGAAGCTTCTTGATTTATTTGTTTTTTTAAGTATTGTTTATAACTAATTTAGTTCATTTAATAAATAAACATTCAATTTTATATTCTTTATATTTTATTTTTTCATAAAAATTCTTTGAAAAACTATGAATATTTAGGCCTACATAAAAATAAATCTCGATGTGCTACAAAAAAACTAGAGTTATATTTTAATTCGGCATACATAAATATCTAAAAAAAACAATATTATTTAAAAGGGAAATTAAAAGTTATATTTCGCAGGCCTGTGTTATCCAATATCTTTTACGAATATAATATAATAAAGACACATTTATAATTAGCTACGTGAGATGTTAATATCAACAATATTTTTAATTTTAATTTTTGAATTTCATCCAAAGTTTTGAACAATTAAGTATATAAAAGTTCAGGAAAAGTCAATTTTGGCGCCGAGATTTACTATACTTGTTTAGAGATTACACACTTATCAGTACAACACTGCATTCAAGGTTTTTGTTTAGTAAAAATCGTTAGAATAGTTGCATACGTTGCACTTACTTTTAGTGAGAGACGAAGCATATTCCAGATTAGATAACAAGTACGATGTATCATGCATAAAAACATACTTTTAATGATGTCTTTACCACTTAAAAAAAATCGCTCAATTTAAAGATCATGAGGTTAAAAAGAAAAGGAAAAACACTTTTTCTAAAGTCCAAAACCATGAATGTAAAAATTTTTAAAATACTATGACGTTGTGTTATCATGTTATCAACAAAAATTGCCACTAAGATAGATATAGTATGTCTGCTCTTATATATATTTTGTGTCCAATTTAGGCTTCGCTATCGTTGTAGTGTTTTTTTTTGTCGAAATTGCTTCTTTTTGTTGGTAAGATGACAATCATTTCTATCATACTAAGTACAAAAATATTTGAAACTACAGTACCCAAGTAGGTAATGGCGTTTAGTAATCCTTTATCTTCTAAACTCAAGTCGAGATCACACTGAGCTGCTGGAAATACGTACGACATTGTAGAGCTTTCAAAACTGTTTGACCAACCCGCAGGGAAAATAACTAAAATCAGAAGTAAGTTGTATCTTCCAAATCCTGTTGCCGATATTGCAGTCTCAAAACTTGCTGGACCTGCATCTGTAAATAAATATAACTGACATAGTAAATGCGAGTGGTTGTCTCAGTAATTTCTTACCGGACGGAACTTTATTGATATACACCCTTTTATTAAGAGTATCATTAGTCATGTTGATATCAACGGTAAAACTAACATTAACCTGTTTACTTATTGCACTTATAGCACCTGCATTCAGCTTATCTGCTTTACTACTTATTAAAATTTACGAACAATGCACAATATTAATAATAATTAAAGAATGAGATCGGCACTAATTACGTCTAATAAAACCTCATAAAAACAGACTAGAATTTATGCTAATGTTATAATATTATAAGTATATTACATATAATAAAAGAAGATAACGTATGCAGTTTATAAGAATAGAGTCTCTCTTAACTGCACACAATGATTGATTTGTGAAGGTATGTAGTCGTATACAAAAAGTCTAAATATATCTATAGAGCAAATCATACTACAGTGGTACAGACTACATAAAAATAGAAACAAGTATGTGCCAGCTATGCAAGTATTGTAATCCTTCTGGTGAAAGGCTACTTTCATGTATGTCAAGATTTCATGACTCTAAGGTATCATCTGTCATCTGTTGGAATTTTATCAAAGAGATCATCCCTGAAATTTTAGGTATATTTTAAGGGTATTGTGTAGGTGATACATTTTGCATAGTATTCGTAAATACTACTTGAATTTTGTAAAATAAGATACTTTTATTCTTATGGTTAATAAATCCACTTTTTGACTTTTTACACTAGGTATCCACATGTTTGGAAATTTAACGTTTTGCTTTTCTAGGTTTTAATTTTTAATGTTGGACGATTTAACCATACCTTCTCTGAAAAACAGTTACTAAGTTTATATGGCTATATTTTAGATATAAATTTATTATATTACCGCGTTAAATTTGAAAAGGGTTTCGACGTTTCGTAACGGGCACGTTCAAGAAATGATGGACAAGAGAATGAAAAGTTCATCAGAGTAGAGAAGTAAGTAAATCTCTTCTAACAAGGAAATTCTTTTCAAATTTGACACGATGCAAACCCGGAAGACGTTTATTAATAGAACGGTTTTTGTTGCAACCAAAGAACGGCTTACCAAAGTAAAGTTTTCCATAAAAAATTGGTCTAAAGTTATTTAGGCAGAACTCTGAAGTACGAGTACAGGTGAACAAATACAGTTTCTTCGAAAAATTACAGTCTAAATTACCACGAGACGTCTGTTGATAGACCTACACAATTTAACACACACGTAAACTGAAATACGTTTTTACATTTTATGTTTATTACATTTTTCTATTATACAGAATTAAGCCTAAAGGAAAGTGTTTTGCGATCTATATTTCGTAATAACTAATTTTTATTCCATTTTTATTTCCATAGATCACTTATTTTCTTATTTGTTTTTAGTTATCATAACCCTCCTCGTAAAATATGTTGATGATAAGATGACTGTTTTTTACATTTTTTATAAGTTTACAAATTATGTGATGAAGTATATATGTGTTCTTGACGTCCACCAACGTCACAAATTAATTTCTCCCAATAACATAAGCGGCAACATGGCCACGAAAACGTTACGTTAAAATCTATGGTTGGAAGACTTTCATTATCCCAGGTTCTGATACGAGAAGGAACCACTTTTTTTTGCCAGGCATGTTAAAATTTTGAATTTTCTTGGCGCTTGCGTAAAATTCTGTTTTGGCTTTACCGAGATGTCATTAACAATCTGTAGTTCTGCTATTGCCACTGTACGAAAATTACTAGATGCATAGGGGAAATAATTTTATGTTCCAAAATAAAGCTAGAGTTGTTGCGCTTAAAAAAAAACGTAGGTACTTTCGTAACACTACATTTTGCAAATATATATATATTGTATCGAAGTAATTGTTTTTGAAAGAAAACAATTATGTAGTTCGCCTTCCAGCTATTACTAAGTATTCTTCTGATCGTTTATCTTCAATACTAAACTTATATATAATTACAATGTTTTTATATACTAAGCTGTCTTGCACAGAGTATAGTCTCGTTGTTACATTGTCACTGTAATTGACAGTTTTTATTTCTTCTGTTGTCAAATCACACTTTTTTTAAATTCCTCATTTAACTATTAAAAGTTAGGAATAAATTATGTATTATTAATGATTATGACCAAATTCAAGGCAATTCGTATACAACTCATTTCATAATTTGATTTATTTTTGTAGCACGAGCAAAATTAGTCAATTGTTGCACTTGTCAGAAAGTATTTTAAGTTACCTTTGATTGTGTTGAATTTAAAATGTTTGTTATATTGTTATCAGGAATACAACACAACTTACCGCTAGCACCACTTGACATGATACCAACACAAGTATCGCAGTGTGTCGACTGCTTTTTTATATCAACTGTACAAGGATAAGCAGCCATTCACCTTCGCATGTTTTTATTAATAATTGTACTTTGTAGAAAAATATTAAGAATCAGAAAAATATATTTTTGTTTACTTAATTTTTTTTATAAAACTAACAACGATTACTAGACTCCTTTAACAGTTTTCTAAAAAATTGCACCCCCATTTAAAAAATAAACATTGATAAAAATTAAACTTTCCACCATTTTTAGCGTTAGAGAGTTGATAAATGAGTGTTGCCCTAGTTTGTCTTTATAACGTTCGGATATTTAACAACAACAACTAATTTGCAAAATCTAATATCTTTCTTTTAAATGTATGAACATATTGTTACGTTTTACAGGTGATTAAAATCGGCGTGGGTTAAATTCAACAATTTATTTCTTAATAACTCGAATTTACACGACTCATTACACAGCGATTATGTACAAAATAATTCCAGCGCAATTTGGCTAAACTCTGTCTTCACTGAACCAACTCGACTGAATCCATCTCTCGTTATTTGCAGTATACTAACTGTTCCCGACGGTGGGTCTCATTTAAACAGCTGTACGGTCCTTCTCGAAAGTCTTTGTCACCGGTTTTAGGCTTATTCTCGAACACCCGTCGCGACATCCGCTTCCAGGCTCTTCTCCGGACGCCGTCATGGACAATGAGTCATCGTCGCCGTATATACTAGAACCCATAGACGTCGTACCGGAGCGCCGTATGGGTTTATTTCGTAAAAATATGAAGCCAAAAGATGGGGATAAAAGTTTATGGTGGAACAATAACGTCTTGGAAAGCGGGGAAAGACGGGTGGTCCGGAGAGTTGAGTTGATAGAATTCCTTTTGTAGAATATATAGACGTAATGTCTGTACTTATGTAAATATAGTTATACTATGTATATACCTCTGTATGTCATGTACACACACATATACATAATCGTTTCGTGGAAGCCTTACCCACTGTTCTCAGAGTTTTGCTTCAAATTTGGTTTGTATACATACTGAAGAAAAGCTTCTTAACGTTAAAATTTAGTAAAAAATATTTTTCGTCAAATATATTTAAATTTAAAATCGAAAACCTTATAACATGGAAGTTGAACTACTCGTACCTAGTTGTAAAACAATTTGCATTTTAATTTTTTTGGTTTTTTATTGACCATTATACGACAACATTTTTAATACATTAATAATATCAGAGTTCTTCATCTAGAGAATTAGAAGCTAAAAAGGTGTCAAACCTTGGCTTGTCGTCTAGTCAAATATAAAAGAGTAAAAAATTTTTCTGAAGTAATTATCACATTCTTACAGTACGGTCGTCTTCATTCTAAAGCTTTTCGATCGGTATTCGGCAAAAACATGACAAGTAAGGAACACAATATTAGTATGGATCCAATTGTGAAAAATGGCGGTGCGCAACCCAATGAAAGTAAGAGCGGGAAAATCAAATTTCCAACCATGGATGCTGAGCGGCCAAACATCAATACCAGAGATATCGTCACAGCTCTGAAATGTAATGCTAAATAAGACTTTTTTCATTAAAATTAAGCGTTTACCTCAATGATGTCGGAAATAAATCTATTACAACTGTCAAGATTACGTTTCCACAAATACCTCCCGTTGATAGAAATAAAGAGGCTAATGTTACAACCATAGCTGTATTTTTGGAAAAATATATCGACATGGCGCATACTCCTCCACTTAGTGAAAGAATTCCTGTCAATTTTCAATAATTAAAATTTAGTGATTTTAATAATAACGTAATTACCTAAGAGCATTTTTTTTCCTGTTTTGTTAATAATCGAACCAGCTATCGCATAACCAGATATTGATACTCCTGCAACAATTATCGTATTCAAGTAAACTGATGGGGAGAAATTCTAAAAAAGGTTATTCAAATCACTTTAAAATGTACCATTTTGATAAAGTTGAATACGTACTACGTGGCAGGTGATGTTAGAATGTGTGGACGGCCTAAGTGCTTCCAACATAGTACATAGACTAGCTGTAGTACCATTGTTGTAGTATTGGTAGTCACTGATCGACTGAAATATCTGAGGCAACCACAACCTCAAAGTATTTACTCTGTAAATAACCACTGAGGAACTGTCAACAATTAGTTTGTAAATACTTACGTTAACATAATTACTGACTGAATAGAACATACTAAAATAATATGTTTCAGATGGGGAGGAAAACATAACGGTTTTATTTGTTGGAAACCTTCCTTTAGCGCTTGAGTTTTGTTTCTTCCAGCAGTAATATGTCCTCCATGTTTTTGAGTTTCTAATCTTTCAGTTTTTGTTTCATCTTGCAGACTTTGAATCTAGAGCAAAACTCCTTATACAGTATATATTTAAGTGAAAAATTTGTTACCGGAAATTTTTCTTTATTTCCAGTGTTAAGAGAGTAAACTTTTTTAAAAATTGCCAATGCTTCTTCATTGCGTCCTACTGTCATTAAGAATTTAGGACTCTCTGGCATGAAGATAAATATTATTCCACTAATTAAAGATGGGATGGCACATACCAATAAAAATATGTTCCAAGAGTGTAGCACTAAAAAATTGTTTTGTACAAATGTGTTTGAGTTTCAAATGTTGAAAGAACATACCTACTGTGTCATTAAAAAGGTTAATAGAAATATCTTGTGGTAAAATTGCCCACGCTAGCAAAGGCAGTGCCATTGTTCCACAACTAACGATCATTCCTCTCACTAACTGAACTTTTGAACGATACTTGGAGCAATGAAATTCCGATAAGTATGCAGTTAACGCAGAAAACGGCCCGTTGATTCTGAAAAAGTTTTTTTTAATGTAACTTTTGTACTTAATTTTTGATAAACTCACATAAATCCACCAAAAAATTTGAAAATTAGCAGAAGTGTATAGTTTTGAGAAAACGAACTCATTATAACAAATGCAGCATCTAACAGGTAACCAGTAATCATCAGTTTTTTCCTTCCCAGCGTGTCACACAAAAAACCCCAAATGAAACCACTGGAAACCATGCCTAAAAAATACATGTCATAATGTAATGTTGTTTAAATATTATATGCATTGAGAAAATGTACCAACAAAAGTAATAGCATTCAAAGATCCCCTGTTGCTCAATGATAAATCTAAATCACAATGTGCTGCAGGAAAAACATATGACATTGTTGTCGTTTCTAACATATTGGTCCATCCTGAAGGAATTAAAAGCAAAAAGAGAAATATGTTGAATTTCCCGAATTTTGTGGCAGAAATTGCAGTCTCAAAATCGGCATTGTAAATGTCTAAAACAACAAACAAAAAATATAGTGTCAGTGAACGATAATATAATAATGAGGTCTTACCTGTTGTGTCTGTGACGTGACGGTGCTTGTTTTCAGTGACACTTTTGTCAACTTCGCTTGAGATATTAAATATTTTGCTCTTGGACATTATGTTTTTGAAATACTTCGAAGCTATTTGACGCACTGATAAGTAAAGGTAATTGTTCTAATTTAAATAAAAAGAGTTATTTAAATAAGTTTAAAGCAAGGGGAATTTTCCTTGTGCATGTCATCACAAATTCTTTCAAAGCGCGTAATCCATATTTAACATTGTTTAAATTTACGTAATATTTTCTGACATGCTTAAAATTTGTTATGTTATGACTGTGACGTATCTCATACTTCAAACAAATTTCAGCCTATTGCGTTTACTGGTGCAATACTGACTCTTCTTTTGAAATTGCAAAAAAGGGAGTAAAACTGTGATATAAAGAATAACTTAATGGTTTGCTTACATTTAAGTGTAGTGTTACAAGCCTAAAAGACACTGTAGTTAATCACTTAGTTTTGAAAAATGTATGCTTGTAACCACCACACACACCGTTACAGATACACTGATCATTATGTTTATGTTTTTTCGCTCATACTTTAATACACTGTCATCTCACATGGTCATTTCAATCAGCCATTAATTAATTGTTGCTTTAATCCTAATTTTAGGCATGTTACTGTTTATTTGTTTTTAGATTTGGGAAACTCGAATGGTATAAATTTATGATATCAGCAAGTGTCCACAATGAACAGTCGTTTTGCAGAACCACTTTTCTGGCACTTGTAAGATGCTCTTCCACACTTGCATCAATAGCATCCAAATTAATTGATTTTCAGCTCAGAGATTCCGACCATTAAGTTCAGAAGTCGCCGCCATAAAAATTATTTAAGCCTCTCATAATTGCGCTCACCTAGTAAGTAGTAATTATTATTTCTCACCCAGTAAGTTGTAATTATTATTTAAGTGAATAATTGTGAAGTAGAATTAAGTGATAAGTACCTATATGTGAATAATCAATAATAACACTGGTCAACAAAATTTAATTTTTTCTCTCTAACTTTGACATAATTGTAATGTTTTCGTTTAATTTGTCTCTGTGTTTGTAACAAAGAGCATAAATCTTATAACTTAGCTCAATTAAAAAAAATATGCATATTTGATGTTAGAAACACAAAATCAGGTAAAACAATTTAATTTTTGTATCTTTAACGGCAAAAAGTGTAGTATTAACAAAAGAACAACCATAAATAAGAAAAAAACAACGAATGTAGTTTAAAAAACGAAAAAAACAAAAGAAACAGCGAAGACCGACGTTTTTTCGGTTGCCTCCTATAGATTTTATTGGAGATCTCTCGCTTGATGGTCCCGCAGTATTCTGCGAGCATTTAGGTGTTCCATTGATCTTGGTAACGTTTTTCTATCGACAAAATGCCCAGATGGATGTGTTCTCTATGATGGTCACTCACGTCGTCACAATTTTTGGGGAAAAAATCAAGATGCGAGTGTATAAAATGCACTTTTAAGAATATGTTAATTTTAAATTTTTTATATGATGAGAACATGTCTCCTACTTACTAAAAGTAGCTTTCTTATTGTTTCCCAAGAAGTTTGTAGCAATTTGATTACAAAAAAATACACCTTATAGAAAGTTTCCTATTACTTAATAGTACGATTTTTGTATTTTTCAAGGATAATATTTTAAGATTACTTTTAAATGAGAGCTAAGTTTTGGTTTAGTCCTTTATAATATCATTTAAAATTGCTAATTAAATAATAATTGACTGCTATAATAAAAGTTAGAGCTTAGCTGTTGACCAGTGTAATCAGTACCCCAGTCATAAATAACCATTGTCATAATAAGACTTGTGAATAAAATTAAAGTTCTTTTTAAAAACGAGTTTATTTAACAAGTGGACGTAACTGGCGCGGATAGTGTTAAGAAACAAAAATCGTTTGAGATCGATTCCGAAAATAAAACCAATTCAATCGCTGAATCTTCGCAACATCTTCGCATCGCCTGCACACCGCAGAATTTCGGACAAGCATCGCCGAATTTTCCACATCGTCTACAGGACTCCTGGACAAACATCGTCAGACTCCTATGTCGTTTCAAGAAAAGAAAAATGCAAACATACTTCACACTGACGTTAATGTAAAGTAAATACTCGTTCCTGTCTCAATCAAATCCCTTGGACGAATGATTGCGTTGACGATTTCGTACAATTAATTCGGTTGTTCGTTGTAGACGAAGATAATCAAAATAATCAGAATCAAAAAATGGCCGAATTTCATTAATCGTTTTTGGACATTATTCCCAAATACACTGGAGAAGCCCTTGAATGCGCTGAATTTCTTTCTGCGTGCGAATTAATCGTCACACAGTTTCAAGACACACCAAATCCACAAGCATTCATAAACAAGTTTCTATTGGTCGCGATAAAGAATAAACATGGAATAAACTGACAGGACTTGGAGAGCTTTAAAAAACATTTTACGATTAAACTTCGCAGACCAAAGAGATGAAAACTCGCTTTTGCGAGATTTAATGCTTTTAAAACAAGAAAACGAAACCCCGCAACAATTTTACATTCGCTGTCAAGACATGAAAAGTTTTCTTCTTTCAACTCTTTCAGTAACAGAACTCAACAGTATAATCCAACAAATTCCGCTTCTTTGAAAAATGATGGAAAATTTGTGTTTTCTGATAACCTTTACATAGTAAAAACCAGTGGGTAAATGACACCTCGAATCCACTGTGCCGTGGGAGTGCAAATTCCAAGGAGGTGCCGTCCGCAGATATACAGACAATATGAAATGTAGATATTTAAAGCAAATAACCAACGGAAAATAGTGTATTATTAACTTCGACTGTTTATGTTTATACATCGAAAGAATGTCAAGTAGAAATTTGTTTAATTTAACTGAGTTGTCACCTCAAAAAAGCATACTAAAATTATTTATTAAACCACAATGGAATAAAATGTTTTCAATATGGTTATTATTATTCTTATTTGATCATAATTAAATAAAAAACGTGGATATTCTTACATTTTCTACAAAATGAGGTTCTTAATTTGATAAATAAAAAATTGGTCGAAAGCTATAAGTATAATCCGACAAATTCAGCTCCTTAAAAATTTATAAAATTTGATTTTACGATTTTCGTTTTGTGATAACCGGTGTAAAGTAAAAACCAGGGGCATAAATAACACACCTGGTCCTTCAGCACTAGGTAATAGCAAACTGAAGCTCAAGTGTTTATGTTTATACACGGAAAGAATGTCACGTAGAAATTAGTTTGGTTTGAATGAGTTTGTCCTCTCAATACAGAGCATTTAAATTATTAATTAAACCGCAATTTAACAAAGTGTTGTGAATATTATAATCCTTATTTTATCATTATTATATAAAGACGTGCGTACTCTTCACATTTTCAAGAAAAATGGGGTGATTCGTTCTTAATTTGACCAATAAAAAATTTGTAATGACGTCATCAACATGGATAATCCTAGTCACAGTGTTATACCAATGCAAAAAAAGAAAAAGGCGGGTTCGGCATTGAACCCACAATCGCAATACCTCAGGTTTTGTCCGATACACCCACTGCGCCACGGAGACGTACAAACCGTGTGGGGAATAAAACGTTATTATACCTTGCAAATTATTTAAATGATTAGCCAAATTTTGCTTAGAATGTAACCATCTACATGATATTTCTAATATACATACAACATTTGACAACAATTGGTACAGCAGTTTCGGAGATTACGTGTTTAATAAATATGGATACAGACACCAGTCAGACAGACAGACAGACAAGCAGAGAAATGGAAACGGGCGACTGCTTTGTTCGTACTGTAGGGATCATGAAACGTCGAGAAAACATAAAAGTGGCCGTTCGTCCGATGGACTCGATTATAATACTTCCTTCGCTTACGCTCGGGAAGTAAAAAGGAACATGTTCGACAATTTAACGCTCAAACTCAGCAAAATCTTCAACACCACCAATAACTGAGTTTCAGCCATAATCCGAATCCAAGAAATTTTCAAAGAAATATGTACTCATCGAATTAGAATAATTTTCACAATTTTGCGAAACCAATTGCGATGAAAGCACAGACGATAAGAAAGCAAGCTGTACCAATGGGCACAGAGAGCCCAACTTAAGTTTTAAAGTGAAATCAAGAAAGGAAATACACATTCGAAGAATTACTCAGTCACCACAAATGAGTTATCTTCCATTCACGAATGCAGTTGAAGAAGAATTTGATTCAGACGAAAATGCCACATGTGCACAATTCCAAGGACAGACTTTCACAACAGCTGATTCCAATGAAGTTGTTATCCGAAGAAATTTTCCCACTTCAAAATTTTTTGCTAACCCCTCCTAGCAAGAACGAGATTTAGCATTTTCGCAACAACATCCTACAATTGAACTTAACATCGACACAAATTACATTTCAAGACTATTGTCATGAATACAAATATTTTATATTCTTAGTTTGCGAAATCATGACGCCTCGCTTCCTCTCGAATCATGCGATGGTGGTATTTGGAGACGGGAGAGCATTATCCTGCTAGAACGGAAATGTGATTGAAGACAAGTAGGGAAAATTGCTGTTCTAGCGGGATGATGGTTTCCTGGCTCCAACGAGAACCCAAAACGGGGAGTTTGTGAGTGACCACCATCGTAACAACAAGACCCCGGAACGATGTAAGTACCATTTTCGATAATAAATTTAGTTTAAAATTTTATTTGGTACCTAGTTTAAAATTTGGGGTTCCTGGGAAATTAAGCTTGGGTCGTGACACTATCACACACCGGAATTGAATTTAAAATAATTGATACGACACCGGATCAGCTACCTGTTTGCTAAGCCCTCAAGTCACCCAAAGATTTTATCCTTCTTACATTAGAAAAGACACATTTCGAATACGCTCAGTCTACGCAACCACTCAACATTCAAAAAGTGTAACACTCTCAATTTCACAAATTTTTGGAACACCAGACATCAAATAAAAACATTTTCTATTCGATTTCAATCCTCAATAAGACGGATTATTCGGAATTCAGTTCCTATGTTCAATAAACTCATGTCTAGATTTTGAAAACAAAATTTTGATAAGGGACAAAGTCGCAGTTCTCATTCATGTACTTTGAATGTGATGAAATAAAAAGAAGTATACCAGTTTTTCAAATAAATCTTCAGTCAAGAACTGAACAAATCATCCAAGTACCTGTCAACAAAGACGTCATAGAAGGAATCTTACACCTCCAAAAATTCGACATAGACGAAATGCCAGTCTCATACGTCACAGTCAGGGGCAAAATAACAACGACCACTATAATCAACCTAACAGATCAAGAATTAAACTTCATACTATTCAAACCTCGGCTCACCCATGGATACCTGCTCAACCGCACCTCCCCAGCTACTTGCCAGCAATGCGGATGCCGTCAAACTGTTCAGCATCTCATCTGCGATTGTCCCCACTGGCAAACCCAACGCAACCATTTTCAAATATCACCCAACCTCGCCGAAACGCTAGGAAGTACCATCCCGAACATGGTCAACATCCTTCTGTTCCTTAAACATATTCAGCTGTTTGAATGCATATAGAAGGGTTTTTCTTTTTACTAAGTGTGTTTTCCTACCATGTAAGGTTGCTAATGACCTAGCTGTCGATGCGACCAAATGTACAAATAAAAAAAAAAAAAAACCTCTAGAAATCAACACAGTCTATAATACGAATTTAATCCATTACTACTTTTATCTCCAATTATCCGAACATGGACGAAATTTTAGAAGACAGTCTGTACGACAGCAACCAATGTATGAATCAATGATGATGATATTATAAAGGCAACCAGTAAAGTTAAAAATAACCATGTATCTGGTGTTGATCAAATACCAGGCTTTTTAATTAAAGACTGTTCAAATATATTTCATAAGCCATTATATTACATATTCAATCTTAGTCTGAAGCATTCGAGTGTTTCTATTATTTATAATTTACACCGGTGTTTAAGGAAGGCGATATTTCAGTTGTTAAAAACTATCGACCGATATCTATTTTATGCAATTTTTCTTAGATTTTTTAAACCATTCTGTATAATCAAATATCTTTTAGTATTAGAGGGTGTACTTCGGCTAGTCAACATTCAGGTAGATCCACTTTAACTAATCTGACGTCCATGTCCCAATTTATAGCTGATGCTTTAAACAATAGGGGTTAACTTGATGTTATATACACAGACATAACTAAAATGTTTGATACAATTGACCATCAATTATTACTCTTTAAGTTATCATCTATCGATTGCTCGGAATTATTAATTAAACTAATTGCTTCCTACTTGTCTTCTCGTTTAAACTTGGTTATGTGTAATGACATTATATCTAATTCTTATATATATTTCTACGTCGGATGTATCCCATGGTTTTCTAATGGGGCCCTTGCTTTTTATAATTTATATCAATGACGTTGTAGATGTAATAAAAAACTCGCATATTCTAATCTAGGGGGATGACATTAAGATCTTTAGGAAAATAGACTCTCCGGACGATTGCCTCTTATTGGAGATGGACCTGAAGAATATCCAACAGTGGTGTATATCAAATTGTTTACTATTAAACCATAAAAAATGTAAAGTGGTTACGTACTCTTTACGTTAAAATCTCTATCAGTAATTTTACTATGTTGACAACTTTCGTCTTGAGAGACTACAATCGCTAAAGGATCTTGGTGTGTATTATGATTTCGAGTATAGTTTTAGGGAACATGCGAATAATATCGTGTTGAGTATGGGGAAAATTTGTCATAAGCAACTGAAGAACCAGACATATGTTTTTTGAAGGATATGCTTAAAAATTACCAGAAAAAGCAAATGCTTATTATTATGAATACCACTAAATATGTGGTAAACTATTTTATACCCATAAGTGATAAGGGCGGCCCACCCAAAACATTTTTTCTTTATTTTTGGAACACAATTTTTATTTTTATTTTTTTAAGATTTGGCATCAAAAATACATATAACTCTAAATTTTCACTCTTTTAATATTAGTATCTTTACTTTCATCCACAGATGCGCAATAGGGCTGTTGTATAATTTATAATTTAATTTAATTATAATTTGTTTATTTATTTTAATTTAATTTTTTATTTAACTACCAAAATATTCACTAGAAATAATTTATATGCCAAAACAACGTTTGCCGGGTCAGCTAGTATTTTTATAATAGTCACTGTGAAAAATCTGGCAAAAAGGAATCAGTAGTGTGAAGAATTGAGATGTTATGGGTAAACAAAATTTATATGTAAATACAAAAAATCAGTCGAACCTCGTTTACAATATTAAGTATAATTTAATTTTAGAACTTTGACTTTTAAAATATGTATTGCTTTTTAATAAAATAATGTTTTTGTAATAGGTACCTACATCAGCAATAAAACGGTTTGCAATTTAATTTATGTTATTCCTATTGCTTGACTATTGTTATCACAAATTACTATTGTAAACATTTTGTTTAAAAAATAATTGATACCCACGCCAAAAAAATTGAAATCTCCAAATTTTTGTATACTTAGTATCACTTTTTGTAAACTACTTAAGTACAACTCATGTTATGGTATGTCTGGGTTAACTAACATAGGCAATAAATTTTGCAACGTTTTTATTTTTGATAAATTAAAATACAAGAAAGAAAAATTTGCATCGTAATAAAGCACTTATAAAATACAAATTGTGTAAATTATATTTTATTTTAAAATTACAAAACCATAAAACATATCCAGTTTGTATAAGTAAAATAAACAGTAAAAAATTAAGAATCACACGATATCATGATTATTTCTACCAATAAATATAAATAAATAAAAAATACTAGAAGCTAAAGTCTTTGGTACAACGTAAGTTACTTAATGAATGACTAAATAGTTGTCAGTTCTTGGTATTGCTACACACAACATTCCACTTGCTAAAAAAAGAAAGAACAAGCTATTAGTAGAAATTTTACATAAAATTGACAACTAATATCAGCAGAAAATTTTATATGAACTTACCTATCAAAAGTGTTCCAAAAATATATATTGGCACGAAACATTTCAAATCGATCAGTAACCCAAATACTACATTCCCAAAAATGGCTCCAATCCTACCCGACGAAGCTGTCACTGCTAAAGCAATTGCCCTGTAATTTAGTATTGGATAAATATGCAGTTATTAGAAGAAAAGAAATTACCTAAGATTAGTGGGAAATAAATCTACAATAACACAGAAAATTACTGCTTCAAGAATACTGGTGAGTGCTTCAAAGACGCAGGAAAGTACTAAAGTTTCCGTTGAATTTTGGACCCAATTTAAAGAAAGGGTACAGAATCCTGACATCATCAGACCAATAACTGCAAGTGAAAGAACCATTAGTAATTGTTTTCACACGTCATTTGAACAAAGGTCAATAAGTATTTGATAACAAAAGTAAAAAATAAATAACACTTAATGGAAAACTACGTTAGGAAATTGTTTGTTATGTTGTGACTAATTAAAGAGTAAATAATAATTCACTCACTTAATACGAATTTTTTGCCAAACTTCTTCATAAAGAAGCTAAGCGATACTGACGTAGGAATACAGCTTAATCCTATGATAATCGTGTCCAAGAAAACTCGACTATTTATGGCGGGATCACAAAATTCTGTAAAGAATACTGCATTCTCGTCTTGATTTACTTCTGACACTGTACAAACGCTTGCAGTAGTATTTGGGTGTGCAAGTTCATACTCATTAAATCGCTCAAAAATTTCGGGGAACCACATAATTAATGTGCAATAGCTAGAAAAAAAAACGGTCATTTAAGAAATTTTATATATAACATGAAAACCATACCTAGCCATTAACCCAAAATCTGCGAAAGAAGTAATTCCTAGATATTTTACATATGGCTGTGAAAACAACGTTTTTACGTCCGCGGCAACTGAACATAGTTTCTCGTAGATTTTTACGTTCAGTGGTATTTGTTTTATGATTTCTTCTGTATTATTATTGTTTTCGTTCTCTCCTTCTAAAGTCATTACCTGAAAGTCAATTTATTCAATACAGCTTATTGAAAAGTAAACTGGCACTTACTGGGTAAGCATAATACGGGTATCCTGTATTAGACGCAAACATTTTTTGAAAAACGAGTTTCGCCTTTTCATATTGTCCTTTCGAAATAAGGAATTTTGGTGTTTCCGGTAAGTAGTATAACATAACTAAACTAATTAAACTTGGTAAACTGCATACCAACACAAAAATTCTCCAGGGACTGAAATTTCCATGATCGTTGAACGACTCCAGCAAGGTTCTGTTCAGAAGAACCCACGCTAAACCTACGAATGGTACAAGAATACTATTAATTCTCAAACAAATGACATAGTTGTGTCTTTTTTACACTGCAATAAGTAGCTCGGACCAGACTGACTGTTTGTTCTAAAGAAGATTCCTCATTTATTATTTGGCCAGACTGGCAACCTACTCTGCATCAAACATAAATTAGAATTTGATACCATGCAATAATTGTCACCCTTCGTACTTACCAGGTAAAATGATGACGCCCACGTTCCAAAACACTTCTAATCGTCCCAACATGATGTCTCTATGCTTCTTAGAGGCAAATTCTCCTAGGTAGGAGAAGATGATACTAGTGGCTCCTATAATACTGATAAATGGGTTTAAAGTGCATTGGACTGGTAAATCTTGTTAAATTCTTACCCGAACCCATTAAAGAAGCGACAAATTAAGAATAACTGGAATGTTTGAGCGAAAGAAGAAACTAAAGCTGCCAGAAAATCTACCAAAAGTGATAACATTATTGCTACTTTGCGTCCTTGTGAGTCGGCGATAGAGCCCCAAAGGCTACAACCAAATATCATACCTATACAGAAAATTTAGTTTACTCTGCAATCTTCTCATTGAAATTACTAACCGATTAGAGGCATAGCTGATAATTTTCCTTTATCCAGAGAAGATAAGTTGAAGTCGCATTGAGCTGAAGGTAACACAAAAGATAAAGTTGTTGTGCTGATAGCGCATGTTGCGTAAATTGTTCCGCAAACAGCCAGAAGGAGCCTCTGAAATTTTCCATAGCCTAGAAAATCGAAATGAATGTCGGTGCAAAAATTTAGAGTTGTACTTACGGGAGTAGTGAATAGCAGTCTCGAAATCTGCCATTTGAGCTTTTTCGATGAAATCTAAAACACTTAAATGATTATTAAACTAATAGTTAAAATTATTACACAATTGTTATCATCTTAACAGGAAATTTCAACGATAAGTTAAAAAGTAATCGTACCGACGTTATCGTTTTTTTCTTGTATTATTAAAAACGAACTATACTCCATAGCTCTTCGTGTTGAAGACATGACTGATGCTATTCTAAAGACGTCACTTATTTATTGGTATTGTTAACATTGGACAAATAAATACAGTATTTGTTTGTTTCGGAAAGAGTCCATATCATTCGTTGTGTCGATATCGCTTTAAAAATACCTCTTTTATCACGTAAATGAATGCTAAGGAAATTAATGATCAATGTTTGTTGCAACTTGTTCCCTTAACCTAATTAACAACGATTGAAACCTTAGGATATTATTCTTCAAATTAGCATTTTTTCGTTAAATAATTCAGTAACTTAGTTCTAAAATAAATTGTTTTTAGTAACTCAAACTTTTGGCATTTTAAAATCGTTTTCACTCATATATCTTTTCATTCTACATATTTCAAAAATAATTTTTTTTTTTTTGCATTTTTGAAGTTATTAAATTCGGTCTGTATTGTAGGAAATTATATTACATTATTTTCAAAAGTTTATCAGTATTTGATGTATTAACTGGACTATATTTTATCTTTTTTTTTAATACAAATACTGAGTGATAATTCACAAACATCATAAGTGTGTCATAAAAAAAATTTCCGTGTTATGATCACATTTATCAGTTTCGTCTCAACGCCATGAACTTTGACTGTCAAGGAGATGAAAAAAAATGAAATGTTTATTACCATGAATTTCCTTTCATCAACTTTTGTCTCGAGGAAACTAACAGAATGTTGTAGATTATCTGGATATAGAATAACATCTCTTGCGTCACAGCAGTTACACAAAAATTCACTTTAAGAGTTTAGATTAATTTGGTTTTCCCAAACATGATATGAATTTGTATTTTCAACTTGTAGTCTTGTACCCATGATGTATCACACTAAATATTAGTCCGCTTGTGCATTTTTCTTTTTGGATAATAAATAGGTAAAATGATTTCAAATTGCTACAAAATATCTAATGCTAACAATACTATTAGTGTTATTGAGTAGTTATTGAGGTAGGCTAATAATTTGTGTCAAATTTATTTGCATCAGTCATGATTGTCATGAAACACGAAATAAGTTTAACAGTTCAGTACAATTTTCATTATGTATCATTTTTTTTTTAATAAATTATACATTATTTTCTAAATTATCCATAACTGCTAAAAATGTGCCATGTATAGGCAAGTCAATTTCAACAGAATTTCTACAGGTAATTATTTTTTCGATCCAAACTTCTGCAACAATTTGTATTTTATTTCATGAAATTTTCTTCTATAACAGTGGTCTACAAAATCAATTTTTTTCTAATCGACAGAAATGAAAATATACATTCCTAATTTTTTCTGTTGTTTACGAATATGCTTTTACATTTTTGTAGCGTGGATAATTTTCTGAAAATATTTAGAAGCAGAAAATCGTACAAAATAAGGTATTTAGGTACTTGAAATAAATCATTAATAATCATCTTCGCAAAGATATATAATTCAATAAGTCAGTCATCAGTTGAAGATAAACGTTAATAAACCAAATGGAAATTTTATGCAATTTGTTGACGCGTCCCAATATTTCCAAATCATGCACGTATATTACTAAAATCATGCCTATAATTTTGATATTATGACGTGCTAGAAAAATTTGACTGTGGATTTAGAATCAGCATGTTCAACTTAATAAAATCCACCAATCTTTTTCTAGATGATTTTTGGTTGCAGACCAAAATAGCTAAAATCCATACCATCAGTTCGAATATTTTGATTATTTTACAAACGTTGTAAAACAGATTTCTTATAATTCTAATGCCTTAATTACAACGTGTTGTATAGATTTTCTAATTGACTGCTCCTGTTTTAATTCTGTTTACTACAACTGCACATTATCCCTATTTTAATTAAATATTCTGACTAACCGTTTCGGTATTCTCATATTTAGTAGATTGCATTTTTCATAATGAAATAATCATTTGTTTAAAAAAAAGCTTTAGATTTGAATTTAATTGAATCCTTAATTAACAAACTAATAAACATATTAAAATAAATAAACTTACACCATTGTTGTTAGTAAATGATACAGATGATTGGTTTGCACTTATGTAAAGGATCACTAATATCAAAGATCTGACTATAAATCAGATTTGAGTAAAATTTAATACTTCTTTTGTCGGGTCATCTCTTGGGGTCAATAATACGGCGTCTAAATGTTGTGTTTTTAAACGAAATAATGTCAATAATAAGGTTTGCGACGTAGATAAACCAATTTTTTCAAAAAATCATACGTCAATAACAGTTCATTTTCCAATGACCTTGTAGGCGCCTCCGGGAAGTTAATGATAAATTTAGTATTATTTTTAGTAAAATTGACGTAAAGTTTACAAAAATCTCAGTTATCGTTCTTTTATATGCTATATTTAATGTACATATTTGATTACGTATTAAGAAACCACTCTTTAAAACTGTGATAGATGATGCATTAAATTAGTTACTAGATTTATCCAGCTAGAGTCTGAAACTGACAAATATTGATAAGATAAAAAGTGCACATTTTACACAACACATATAATTGATAGAAGAGGTCGAAGTTCGAATAAGCAACATACATGCGAAATACATTTTGTAAACAAATATTTGTATTTATATTGTTTTATGGATAATAGTAGTTTCATATTAAATAATGACAATAGAGTTTTTATAAAATAATAACTTAGAACACACTGATAAAGTGGCACGTATTTAATTTACAATTTTATTAAAATAATATTAGTTTAATTGTGCAGGAGAGGTTTTGGATTAAAGTACGTCGGTAGGATTGACGTTTCGATGTTTCACTTTCTTCCTAGATGGTAAGTTAGTAATAAAAAAATTATTACTCTTAAAAAATCAAATGATTTAAAAAACTGAAAGAATATTTATATAACTGATTTTACAACATTAACTAAAATTTATCTGTTCATGTTCTTCAGAAAGCTGACGCTATTATCTTAAAAAAATTGATGTAAAGTTGTTTAGACATAACTTTCCGAATCCCCGGCAATTCTGCATGTCTGTAAACAATATTTCTCAGTAGAGATTTCTTATTAATTTTTCGTAAAGATAAACATTTGAACTTCAATATGTGTTATATAACACTTGTATGACGTATTCATATTTTGCGAATTTCGGAAAATTGAATGGATCATTTTTAATATGATAAACATACAGACACGTTCTGAGAAAACCGTAAACATAAATTAAACGTATTACTAAAATACGTGTAAAACCTCAATTCAAAACATATTTTTTAATTAACAGTTCTTTAGTAATCATTTGTGATGATGTTTCAAATTTTTAAATAAAATGTTTTAAAACTTAAAGTAAAAGTAAGGAGAATAATAATTAAACTACAGCTTCTGCAATTTGTGAATTCTATTTGCAAAATGTTCGTTAAAATTAGACTTTTTATTTATTAAACTGCCTCTTCTCGACGTTTTATGACCCTTAACAGTATGAAAAACTAAGTCACTAGTTTCATCTATCTGTCGTCAGTGTCGATTTTTATTAGACGGATAGATAATTGCCGAAACTACGAAACCGATTGTTAGATTTTATATGTGTAGATGATAAAACGCTAATCAAAATTTGTTTAATCATCCAGACTAACAAGGTTTGACGTCACCTCAAAATTTCGCATAGTAAATGCGATTTAAATTTTATAAAACAACGTACTCTTTTACTTGTGGTTTATGAATCCATCTTGATTTTTATCTAGACATCCAGTCTTTTGAAAAAACAATCACAATTTTATAACAACAACTTCATAATATTCAACTTTAAAACTGCAAAATAGAATGCACTGAAATCTTTCAAATGTTTTAAGATTATTATAAGCATGCACCCGTCTATATTTAGATATTATTAATAGAATCTAATCATAATACCACCTCGCCCAAAAATTATATTTGACCCGTTTTGCTCCATTGTAGCTTAATCAATTAAATTAGTGCTATTCTCTGTTCTGAGGAGACAAAGTAGATCAAATTTCATTTTTCATAAACATAAATAGTCGAATTTACCCACCTACTGAGACACTGAGAAAACATGTTTTCCCGTTGGTTATCTGTTTCAAATATATTTCATATTGTCCGTACTTGTGTGAACTGCGCCCCCTTGGAATTTAGATCTCTGCGGCGTAGGGTTGTTACTAACGTCACTGGTTTTTTCTTACACTATTAGCGCTATCATCTATATTTTTTGATGTATACCTAGAGGTTATCACAAATAAAATGTCGGAAAATCGAAGTGCATAATTTTTCAAAGGGGGGGATTTGTTGGACTGCACTTCAGGGGAGAGGGAAGTTCTGTCAAAACAACCTTCGAGCTTTTTTTTTAATTTTAATTTATGAGTTATCATAAGATAAATAATAATAATATGGTAATAAATTAAAATAACTAATATGTTAAACTACAAGAAAAGAAGTATACTATGCGTATGTTTTAATTGAGTATTTCATAATAAAACTTTGTGATGATACTATCCACATTTTACCAAGGACACGTATCAATTTGGATAAGTACAGTGTAATACACTGACCGGAAAAAAAACCGCCCCCCCTGAAAAACCACTTTAAAAATTATTAATTTAGCTAGTGATCGTTATTTTATTAAATAACCATTCACTATTGACACATGTTGTACAAATTAGCAAAAAAAGAAGAGATATAAACGCAAAATTAAATTAAATTTAACAAAATAACAGAAACAAACCAAGTGCGATATTTTCTTAAATAAAACAATAAAGGAGGCTGTTTTTCATCATTTGATTATAAGTTTGACAGTTAATAAATGATTTCACTTGAAAATAATGGCGTTAACTCTTACAGACGTCTCTCAAATTGTCGCTCTGTTTCTGTTATTTTTTTAAATTTAATTTAATTCTGCGTTTATTTGTCTTCTTCTTTTATTGCTAATTTATATATCATTTGTCAATAGTGAATGCTTCTTTAATAAAATAACGGTTACTTGTTAAATTAATAAGTTTAATATTTGGTTTTGCGAAATTTTTCAGGGTAGCCGGTTTTTTTTTTGCCGGTCAGTGTATTTACAACAAAAGTAGTGTATTCCTAAATTTTCCTGAAAATGGGATGATTATTTTTTTAATCATCAGCAGTTTTAAAAAATACAAATGTATTGGTAAATCACAAGAATGGACTCATCATATT